TCTACAGAAAGAAAATTCGAAATTTATTGTTTTTTTTTTTATTAAGACTGGTGTATTCTTAAAATGCGAACTAAAATTTTTATTTATCATCTTCTGGTCTCACTACCCCTTTATGGAAATGCTCTTACAGGAATACTATTATCTAGATAGAGAAATGATAAATTACACAGGATTCAAGTTAACAGCCAGCTGCCGGCGGCAGCAGAAAACTTTTGCTTAGGGTTATGGAACTTTTTTCACCAAGGAACTAGAATTTTATTGAAAATATTATGCTTATTGATCTTTCGACTGAAGTTAAAGTCGCTGTCTTATCGCTTATGGTGAATATTTCATATCAGGCAATAAAGCAACCAATGTTTTGAAGGCTGTTTGCAAACGTAAACGAATATAAAGTTTCGAAATTTGAAGCGTGCTACAGGGAGTATTTTTGTTTACAATATCCAGCTTTCTACGTTTTCTTTAAGCGTGACATCACAGACGGCCCGAGCTCCAGCTGTGAGATGATCATCTTGCGCAATAACAGTTATGGCGGAATTATAAGAATTTGTATGGGAATATTTATAATCGCTTTAAGGAATAAAAAAATACGTCAAATTCTCAATAAAAATACCTCACCTTACTTCCACAATGTATGGAGGAAGAGAGAGAAAACTAGCGAATAGCTGACGCCGGAGTAGTTCTCATTGAAAGCTTTTTTGCATCTTAAAAATCTGCATAACTTACACTTTTTGCAAAAAGTTATACATTGGTAAAGCTAGATGACCAATTCCGAGAACACGTCCGCGATGTAGAAAGAAATGACAAGGACGTATCCAAACCAGTCGCTAGACAATTTAATATCCTAATTATTCTAAGCAGCCAGGAGCCCATTACTTAGGCTCCTGAAGCAGCATATGGCAGTTTTCGGCCTTTCCCTGCATCTGGGCAGTTCGGAAAGCTGCAAAACTCTAGAACAAAAATTTATCTTTCAAATCGACGCTCTTGATCACCACCGTATCAACGAGCGCTTTTCATTCAACAAATTTGTTATTGTTTTCTCCTCACCATATTCCCACCAATAGCGTAGCTCCATTTTCTGCAAATAAAGCCACACACAACCCACAATTCCTCTAATCGCTCTGACGAAGGGTTTAAACGAGTTCGAGGCGTCAGCTTTTCAACTCTTTGCAGCGGATAGTACTAAATTACCCCATCTTCACGAAAGACTGAGCATTTGCCTTGCCTTTCAAGGTAGGTTGAATGGATTAATGTGTGCATCTAATTAATTTGCAACTGATTTGCCGATAGTCGCCTAATAGTCCATTACAGCAACAAGGAAGACGTCGATTTAAAAATGAATATATATTTTCAGTTGGAATATCGCGAATGACTGGATGTGCTTACCATCTCTTACGGCGACGCAAGTTAACCTCGGCATAACGTATGAGAGCGACGTTGGTTTCCAAGTGGAAACTTAAATAATTTGCCGTCGAGATTTCTTTTCTCGGAAAACGCAGATTTTGATGATTTCACGTTGATAGCTGCGACTTTAAGCAAACCACGACGACGAAAACAACGAGGACGTGGCAAAACAAAAGATCTAATTGGCAGAACAATTGCTCAGCTTGTGCAGTTTTAAAGCTTTATACATTTCTTAGCCGTGCTCTGCAAAACAACAACGTGAAATCACCAAAATTTGCGTGTTCTGTTTACGGAAAAGGGGAACGACAAATTATTTTAATTTCCATTTGGAACTCAAAGCTGCCAACATATGTTGTGCTGAAGTTAAGGTGTAGCTTTGTAAACAGTAAACACATCCAGCCATTTTCGAAATTCTTACTAAAGATAGAAATTGAGTTTTTAATCGAAATCTTCCCTGGCGTAGCTTCCTGACTGCTTAAGGTCCCTGTTTTGCAGAGGACGGTTAAGAAATGAAAACAGTTTTAAAAGGCAAGGCGCTGAGCCGATTGTTCTATTGTTTTCAAGTCATCGTTCCGTCGCCGTTTTTTTTGTTTTTTTTAATTTCTATTTTTTCTTTTTTATTTTACATATTTCAAATACAAATTACAGACATAACTAAAGTTACTACACAGAAACAAGGAGGTTTGGCCAACAACAGCCGCGCAATTGCTGTCGTGAGGATTTTTATTAATAAGACATTTAAATTCACTAGTACAAGTCGTCGTGGTTTGCTGAAGGTCCCCAGTATCTTTCGATGCCGTCCCATGCTTTCCCATGCCGTCTGTCGTGTATTCGTGGTATCTTTCGATAAAAATCCGGTTTACATTTGTTCAGGTCTTCGCTAGTTGTCGCCGTTACGAATTAAACATCACTGGTCAAAATTGCAGCTTTATCTTCGTGCGCGACGTGATCCACGTTTGGAGAAGTTCGAGCCGATTTTGCTGGCAAAAAAAGTCGAATAATATATGTTGCGATCGATATCGATAGCAAGATCTACTCTCACTCGTCATTAAGAAGAAATAGCTTTTAACGGGGTTTAGACAGTTCTAAGCTAATTCCGAAACATTTTTTCAAGGAATCTTTGTTGGATAATTTGTTATAAGATGTTTCTTCTTTTTCCAAGAATTCTCAGCTATGATTGATTTAAGACTGACAGATAAGTTTGCCAACAAAAGGCAACAGATGACTAAAAATATTGACCAAAACTTAGCGTCATATGGTCACAAAAATGGCCTGTTTGTATAATTTAAAAAGAAAAACTAAGCTTTGTTGAAGAAATTCTGTAAAGATATGCTATGCAACGCGTCACGAGAGTCTCACAAGCACACGCCGTCTTTCGCGTATTCGTGGTTTCTTTCGATACGGCGACAAAATCCGGTTTACATTTGTTCAGGTCTTCCCTAGTTGTCGCCGTTACGAATTAAACAACACTGGTGAAAATAGCGGCTCTATTATTGTACGCTACGCGATCCACGTTTGGAGAAGTTCGAGCCGATTTTGCTGGCGAAATTTGAGTAATATATTATGATCGATATCGATAGCAAGTTCTACTTATCAGGAAGAAATAGTTTTTTTCAAAGGAATCTTTGTTGGATAATTTGTTGTAAGATGTTTCTTCTTTTTCCAAGAATCCTCGCGTCCTCGATTTTTCCAAGAATCCAGCTTTGTTTGATTGAAGACTGACAGATAAGTTTGCCAACAAAAGGCAACAGATCACTAAAATACTGTCAAAATAATTAAAGTTAGTCATGTTTCCTGCAGCGATCCTTTCGACTGAGAAATAATTCGCTCTTTCTTCGCATGTGCACCGTAACTATCTGTTAGAGAAATCTGTAAAACATTGACATTCTGCGGCAAATGATCCAACATTTTAAGACAAAAGTGGCACTGTCTTCAATTAAATGTAAGCAGAGACGATTACACGACTGACATTTCGTTTCGTTTCGTTTCGTAAGCGCGATGCCAATCGAACAACGTCCTCCCCTTACTCTTTTCCAAATATCGCCTAAAATATTTTCTTATAACCTTAAAGCAAAGTATATAATTGAACGTGGACACTGAATTGCAAATTTACCTGAAATAATGGAAAATGAATTCGCTTGAATTGCTGTTTACCTCGATTACCTTTCTCGCTAGCACGCAAAAAAATATCATCAACTCATTTTGCATGGATTGGAGTGACGTTCCCTACGGCTGTTCGTAAGCTAACGGATTACCAAAATATTGACTGACATTTAAAATCTTACGATCACAAAAATGGCCCGTTTGTATAATTTGAAAGAAGAACCAAGCGCACCTTAAAGTAAACTAAATAGAGAACAAAACACAGATCACTCAAAGTATTTGAAAGAAAAAACTAAGCGCTCCCTTTAAGTAAACTAAATACCGAAAAAAACATAAAGCACGCAGAGCATTGTCCACCGGATTTGATCAATATTTTTAGATGGAAGAGGATGAAATACAGGTTGAAGGTTTGAATGCTAGAACTGATCGATATATTAAAGTGTCAATAACACAGCAAATCGGATGAGGAGAAGAAAGCGCAAGCACAGTTGAGATTTATCTAAATTTTTCTCGGCGATGAAAATTTTCTTCCATTCTACTCTTCCGTCACGTGGCACATAACCAGTAGTCGCGAGTGATCCGCATGGAAATAAAACGCCTGACGATCAGAGTATCAGCAGCCGAAATTTGTTTTCTCGTCGTAAACAAAAACTAAGTACTAACGTCTCATAAATGACTCAAAACTGTTTCAACAAATCAACTCTTTAAAGGCTGTGACACGAATGAAGCACGTGTGAGCGAAAAGCACTTAATGATCCGATTGATGCCAGATGCTCACCGAAAGGTATATACTGCGTAGGCCTCTTTATATTACTAAACATTATTTTGTTTCATTTATTATCAAGAATGGCACAGGAAGGGACCCCAGAGAAAAGTTCCGATGCCTTGGCAACTGAAGTTGGTCAGATTATATATGGTGTAAAAACTTGGAGTACCAGATCGAACAGTTTGTCAGTTCCGGTGGCCAGACAGTTAATATCCTCCTGAGTGGTAAGACAGGAGTTGGCAAGTCTTATTTGACAAATGCGCTTATTGGAGAAAACCTTGCAGCAGAAGGATATGACATCGACCCACAAACTGATAACGTAAGCTACTTTGATATCGACAATTGCTTCACCTCTTCAACTATTATGAGGTGCTTTCATTAACGGGTTACTGTGCATTACTTGTAGATGGGAAAATGGATAATATTTCGCGTCATTTTGAGCAGCATGTTTAAACTCCATCTGTTTCCATTTTCTTCCGGAAAGTCCTATCATTGATACTTGAAATCAAGAAAGAATTATTGAATGTTTCTAAGGGTATTAAGTACAAAGTTACTCGAAGGATAGGAAACGACTACTTTCCAATGTCTTTTAGACGGACAGGGCTTTCCTATAAATAAAACGTTTTCATGCATTTTTCTCGCGTAACTGAGGTAGCATTCCAAGACATATTATAATGAAATCTCTGTTAGAGTTATATGTTGTATTAATTTCCTGTTTTATTTCCCTTAGGTAACTGCCTACGAGGTTGTCAAAAACGGCATAAATATCACAGTGTTCGACACTCCGGGACTTGCAGACGCAACCGGCAATGATGAAGAATATCTGCGGAAAATCAAGGAGAAAGTAGCTCACTTCGACCTGTTTCTGTTCTGCACTGAGATGACCAGTAAGCGATTCCGCACCGACGACTTGGAAACGATAAAGAAGCTTACAGAAGCCTTGGGGGAGAAACTTTGGGAACATGCTCTTGTGGTTTTAACCTTTGCCAACGAAGTCCCACTATCGCCAACCAAGAAGACAGATGACGTACCTGAAGCAACCGCTTTCAATAACCGTGTTTTAGCTTTCAAGAAAGCGATAAACAAACATTTGGTTGCTATCGGAGTACCTGATATTACAGCGACTAATGTGCCATATACGCCAGCCGGAGAGTTGGATGATCCAAGACTTCCAGATAGAGAAGACTGGTTAACAGCATTTTGGATCGCAGCTTTCAAACGTATCAACAGGAACGCAAAAGCTGCTTTCCTAATGGCAACTGTCGATCGTATTTCATTTTCTTCCACCGTTAGTGACGGAAACGAAGAAATCAAAGTAAGGAAAGATGGCAACGTTGTCAATCTTGACCAGTTCGGTAATTTATCCATTGAAGAAAGGAATGCAATCACAGAATTCAGAGCAAAATTGAAAGAGGGCGACTTTGACGAAAAATTGAACCGTTGTTTAAAGAAAACCAAGATGTCCGACGAACCTGACCAAGATACAAAGGTGTCAGGTCCCTCCATCAATGTGGACGAAACGTACTCTGAAGAAATCATTAAGGATGTGTTTGGTGGTGTAACAGGGCAACTCATCGGTGAGCTGACCGGTGCTAAATCTGGTAGAAAGTACCAAACATTCTTCGGCTGGCTAACGAAGTATTTTACGAAGTCTTACCCAACTTCCCGACCCACTTAAGCTAGACCAGAAGGCATGAAGAAATGATCACATGGTGACCAAAAGAGTGAAGAAGACAAACTATTTGTCATTAATAATATCAACCAGTTAAACTATGAACATATAATATGTTAACGTAAATGAACTCTGTGTATTTTAAAGGTTCATGTCACGTTCCTGAAATAAAATGTTCTTTAGAAAAAAGGTTCAGATAGATTGCATATAGCTCCAAGCGTTTTTTTGTTACAAGATAAGACGAGTTTCAAGCATCTGTAGATAAAGTTGCTGAGTGATGAGTTCAGGTAGATTGCATGTTATATGTGGGCTTGTTAGAGATCCAAGCGTTTTTTTGTTACAAGATAAGACGAGTTTCAAGCATCTGCAGATTAAGTTTCTGAGTAAAATGAAGCTATTTAATACAGAGGATTGATAAATTAAACTTTGAAAAACGTCTTTTGTGATTTTTCTTTAATTTGTGTTATTAGAAACACCACCCAAAAGAAAAGGATTATAGAATTTTTGTTTCCGTGCCTGAATTTTAAGGGAAAAGATTGACAAGAGTATTTACCACAGCACCACCGTGTCTACGAGCGCTTTTCATTCAACAAATTTATTATTGTTTTCTCCTCATCATATTCCTACCAATAGCGTAGCTCCATTTTCTGCAAATAAAACCACACACAACCCACAATTCCTTTAATCGCTCTGACGAAGGGTTTAAACGAGCTCGAGGCGTCAGCTTTTCTAGCTCTTTGCGGTGGATAGTACTAAATTACCCCATCTTCACTAAAGACCGAGCATTTGCCTTGCCTTTCAAGGTAGGTTGAGTGGATTAATTTGTGCAACTGATTTGCCGATAGTCATCTAACAGTACATTACAGCGACAAAGAAGACGTCGATTTAGAAATGAATATACATTTTCAGTTGGAATTTCGCGAATGACTGGATGTGCTTACCATCTCTAACGTCGACGCAAGTTAACGTTAGCATGACGTATGAGAGCGGCGTTGATTTCTAAGTGGAAAAGTTAAATAATTTGCCGTCGACGTTTCTTTTCTCGGAACACGCAGACTTTCATAATTTCACGTTGTTAATTGCGACTGGAAGCAAACGACGACAACGAGAACAACGAGGACGTGGCAAAACAAAAGATCTAATAGGCAAAACGATTGCTCAGCTCGTGCTTTTTAAAGCTTTGTAAATTTCTTAGGCTTGCTCTGCAAAACAACAACAACGTGAAATCACCAAAATTTGCATGGTCTGCGAACGGAAAAGGGGAACGACAAATTATTTTGATTTCCATTTGGAACTCAAAGCTGCCAACATAATTATGTTGTGCTGAAGTAAAGGTGTGGCTTTGTAAAAAGTAAACACATCTTGTCATTTTCGAAATTCTAACGAAAAATAGAAATTGACTTTTTAATCGACTTCCTCTGTGGCGTAGCTTCCTGATTGCTTAAGGTCCCTATTTTTCAGAGGCCGGATAAGAAATGAAAACAGTTTTAAAAGGGAAGCGCTGAGCTATTGTTCTGCCCAAAGAAGTCTTTCAAGTTTTTATGTCACGGCCAAGTCATCGTTTCCGTCGCCGTCGTGGCTTTTTTTTTTAGTTTTTAATTTTAATTTTAAATCTTATATATTTCTGATACAAAATACAGACATAATAAAAGTTATTACAAAGAAAAAGGAGGTTTGACCAACAACAGCCGCGCAGTAGCTGCAGAGAGCATTTTCACCAAAATAATCTTTATAAAAAAAGTATCTTTCGATGCCGTCCAATGCTTTCCCATGCCGTCTGTCGTGTATTCGTGGTATCCTTCGATACGTCGACAAAATTCGGTTTACATTTGTTCAGGTATTCACTAGTTGTCGCCGTTACGAATTAAACATGACTGGTCAAAATTGCAGCTTTATCTTCGTGCGCGATGCGATCCACGTTTGGAGAAGTTGGAGCCGATTTTGCTGGCAAAAGTCGAGTGTATATTATGATCGATATCGATAGCAAGATCTACTCTCGCTCGTCATTAAGAAAAAATAGGTTTTAACGGGGTTTAGACAGTTTTACGCTAATTCCGACAAATTTTTTGAAGGAATCTTCGTTGGATAATTTGTTGTAAGATGTTTCTTCTTTTTCCAAAAATCCTCGTGTCCTTTTTCCAAGGATCAGCGCGTCCTATTCTCGATACCAGCTTTGACTGATTAAAGACTGACAGATAAGTTTGCCAACAAAAGGCAACAGATGACTGAAATATTGACCAAAACTTAGCGTCATATGGTCACAAAAATAGGCTGCTTGTATAATTTAAAAAGAAAAACTAAGCTTTGTTAATGCAATTCTGTAGAGATTATGCCATGAAACGCGTCACTAAAGTCTTACAAGCACATGCCGTCTTTCGCGTATTCTTGGTATCTTTCGATACGTTGACAAAATTTAGTTTACATTTGTTCAGTCAGGTCTTCCCTAGTTGTCGCCGTTAAACAGTACTGTCTAAAATAGCAGCTCTATTATCGTACGCTACGCAATCCACGTTTGGAGAAGTTCGAGCCGATTTTGCTGGCGAAATTTGAGTAATATATTATGATCGATATCAATAGCAAGATCTATTTTTGCGCGTTATCAGGAAGAAACAGTTTTTTTTTCCACGAATCTTTGTTCGATAATTTGATGTAAGATGTTTCTTCTCTTTCCAAGAATCCTCGGGTCCAATTCTATATACCAGCTTTATTTGATTAAAGACTGACAGAGAAGTTTGCCAACAAAAGGCAACATATCACTAAAATATTGTCAAAATAATTAAAGTTAGTCATGTTTCCTGTAGCGATACTTTCGACCGAGAAATAATTCGCTCTTTCTTCGCATGTGCACCGTAAGTATCTGTCAGAGAAATCTGTAAAACCTTGAGATTCTGCGGCAAATGATCCAACTTTTTTAGACAACCGTGACACTGTCTACAATTAAATGTAAGCAGAAACGATCACACGACTGACATTTCCTTTCGTTTCGTTTCGACATCGTCTCGTTTCGTTTCGTTTCGTAAGCGCGATGCCAATCGAACAACGATCTCTCCCTACTCTATTCCAAATATCACCTAAAATCTTTTTCTATATCCTGAAAGCAAAGTAGATAACTGAACGCGGACACTGAATTGCAAATTTACCCGAAATAATGGAAAATAAGTTCACTTGAATTATTGTCTTTCTCGCTAGCACGCAAAAAATATCATCAAGTCAAATAATTTTGCATAGATTAGAGTGACTTCCCTCGCTTTCGTCTCACCTTGGGGAGGGGGGGGGGTGGGTACAGCTAACGTAAGCTAACGGATAACCAAAGTATTGGCCAACATTCAACATCTTACGATCACAAAAATAGCCCGTTTGTATAATTTGAAAGAAGAACCAAGCGCACCTTTAAGTAAACTAAATAGAGAACAAAACACAGAGCACTCAAAGTATTTGAAAGAAAAGCTAAGCGCTCCCTTAATGTAAAATAAATAGAGAAAAAAACACAAGGCACTTAGAGTATTGACCACCGAATTTGATCAATATTTTTAGATGGAAGAGGATGAAATACAGGTTGAAGGTTTGAATGCCTGAACTGATCAATATATTACTATGACAATACCACAGCAAATTGACTGAGGAGAATTAAGCGCAAGCAAAGTTAAGATTTATCAAAATTTTTGTCAGCGATGTAAATTTTCTTGCATTCTACTCTTCCGCCACGTAGCACGTAACCAGTAGTCGGGCGACTGATCCCACATGGAAATAAAACACCTGAAGATCAGAGTATCATAAGCCGAATTTTGATTTCTCGTCGTAATCAAAAACTAAGCACTTACGTCTTCATAGATGACTCAAAACTGTTTCAACAAATCAACTCTTTAAAGGCTGCGACACGAATGAAGCACGTGTGAGCAAAATCACTTAATGATCCAATTGATGCCAGATGTTGTCCGAAGAGTATTTATGTCGGCGACATAATCTTTTGGCTGAGGAAAACAAACAGCGTATTATTATTTTGACAATGCTTACTAAATATTTCTTACTAATTTTCTATCCACAATGGTTTGGTCAATTTTACACATGTTTTATTTTCTTCCTCTTATAATAATAAATATGATTTTATTTCAGAGTTTGTTATCAAGAATGGCACAGGAAGGGACCTCAGAGAAAAGTTCTGATGCCTCGGCAACTGAAGTTGGTCAGATTATATTTGGTGCAAAAACTTGGAATATCAGATCGAAGAATTTGTCAGTTCCGGTGGCCAGACAGTTAATATCCTCCTGAGTGGCAAGACAGGAGTTGGCAAGTCTTATTTGACAAATGCGCTTATTGGAGAAAACGTAGCAGCAGAAGGATATGACATCGACCCACAAACTGATAACGTAAGCTACTTTGATATCGACAATTACTTCACCTTTTAAACTATTATGAGGTGCTTTCATTAACGGGTTACTGTGCATTACTTGTAGATGGGAAAATAAATAATATTCCGCGTCATTTTAAGCAGCATGTCTAAACTCCATCTGTTCCCATTTTCTCCCAAAAAAGTCGTATCTTTGATACTTGAAATCAAGAAAGAATTATGGAATGTTTTTTCGGGTATTAAGTACAAAGTTACTCGAAGGATAGGAAAAGACTACTTTCCAATGTCTCTTAGACAGACGGGGCTTTCCTATAAATGAAACGTTTTCATGCATTTTTCTCGCGTAACTGAGGTAACATAGCAAGAAATATCATAATGAGTCTGTGTTAGAGTTATATGTTGTATTAATTTCCTGTTTTATTTCCCTTAGGTAACTGCTTACGAGGTTGTCAAAAACGGCATAAGTATCACAGTGTTCGACACTCCAGGACTTGCAGACGCAACCGGCAATGATGAAGAATATCTGCGGAAAATCAAGGAGAAAGTAACCCACCTCGACCTGTTTCTCTTCTGCACTGAGATGACCAGTAGGAGATTCCGCACCGACGACTTGGAGACGATAAAGAAGCTTACAGAAACCTTGGGGGAGAAACTTTGGGAACATGCTCTGGTGGTTTTAACCTTTGCCAACGAAGTCTCACTATTGCCAGCCAAGAAGAAGGGTAACGTACCTGAAGTAACCTTTTTCAATGACCGCTTTTTAGCTTTCAAGAAAGCGATAAAGAAACATTTGGTTGCTATCGGAGTACCCGAGATAACAGTGACTAATGTGCCATTTACGCCAGCCGGGGAGTTGGATGATCCTAGACTTCCAGATAGAGAAGACTGGTTAACAGCATTTTGGATCGCGGCTTTCAAACGTATCAACAGGAACGCAAAAGCTGCTTTCCTAATGGCAAATGTCGACCGTATTTCATTTTCTTCCGCCTTTGTTGAGGGAAACGAAGAAAGCAAAGTAAGAAAAGATGGCAACGTTGTCAGTCTTGGCCAGTTCGGTAATTTTTCAATCGAAGAAAGTAATGCAATGAAAGAATTCAGAGCAAAATTGAAAAAGAGCGACTTTGACAAAAGATTGAGCGGCTGTTTGGAGAAAACTGAGACGTTTGATGAACCTGAAGAGGAGTGCCCCACATCACCTGGCCAAGATGCAAAGGTGTCAGGTCCCTCCATCAATGTGGACGAAACGTACTCTGAAGAACTCATTAAGGAGATCTTGGGCGATGTACCAAGTCAATTAGTCGATGTGCTGGCCGGTGATAAGTTTGATAGAAAGTACGAAACATTCTTCGGCCGACTAACAAAGTACTTTAAGAAGTCCTGACCCATTTTAACTTTACAGGCTTGATCAGAAGGCGTGTAGAAATGATTAGGTGGTGACCTAGAGGATGAAAAAGAAAAACTGTGTGCCATTAAAAATATCAACTAGTTAGACTATGAAGGTATAATCTATTAACGAGAATGAACTCTGTATACTTAAAAGGTTCATGCTACGATTCTGAAATCAAAAGTGCCGTAGAATAAAGGTTCAGATAGATTGCATGTTATATGTAGGCTCGCTAGAGGTCCGAGCGATTTTTTGTTTCGAGGTAAGATGAGTTTCAAGCATCTGCATATAAAGTTACTAAGTACAATGAAGATATTTGATTCAAAGGACCGATGAATTGAACTTTGAAAAATGTCATTTGTGATTTGTCTTTAATTGGTATTATTAGTAACACCATTAAAAGGAAAGGATTATAGTTTTTTATTTTCGTGCCTGAATTTTACGAGAAAAGACGCACAAAAGTATTTACCAGGCGTGTGTGAACTTTGAAAGGAGAAAGCCTTGTCCGAATCCTTCTTTGTTTAATGTCCTCATTATACAATCGTCAGCCGACTGTTATTTTGAACCCTGCTTTCTGGTCCAAATATGGATCGTTTAAAGCGTGCAACATCCTTCGAGGGAGTCAGGAGGCATATTCCATTCAGAAGAACTTCTTCACCAGGTGATCTACGAAACCCATGCAAAAATCAGAGGAGAATGTATCTCCTGAGTCTCCAAATTTCGAGCAAATCAAGCATGATAATAAGAAAACCCATCCAAACCCAACGGAGCTGTTGATATTTTTTTTGGGTAATAGTGCTTCCGTCGTGGAAAGATTAAGAACCCATGGTTCTCACTTAGAGAAGGTATGAACTGCGTAAGAGGAAGCTCAACTGGGTTTGTTACTCATATCTACATCCAAGGATTCGATCAAGTCCAGGGTGATCGTAGCCGTTGTGATCAAAATAGTGACATTACTTTTGATCGCCGTCCCACTACCAGAAGTGTTTTCATGGTGGAGATATTAATAATCCCGGTCAGTGTCACATCTGCGTCTACGCTCAGCTACGATAGGCACTGATCATGGGTAGAGAGGCCTAGCGTAGAGTTTCCCCAGCATCAACCTCGTCCGTCCTTCAGTAAGAGAAAACCTGAGAGATGTCATGATGAGGTTTGCCAGAGGAGCCATCAGGGTGGTATTCGAAAGGATCCTTTCTGGAAGTGACTCCCTTGTTGCCGCTGCCCTCGACTGGATTGTTAATTACTTCATAGACTGGCAACGAGATAGCCCTGGAAGGGAAGATTAATACTATGGAGGAAGAGAGAGAAAACTAGCGAACAGCTGACGCCGGAGTAGTTCTTATTGAAAGCTTTTTTGCACCTTAAAAATCTGCATAACTTGCCCTTATTGCAAAAAGTTATACATTGGTAAAGCTAGATGACCAATTCCGAGAACACGTCCGCAATGTCGAAAGAAATGACAAGGACGTATCCGAATCAGTCGCTAGACACTTTAATCTCCCTAATCATTCTAAGTAGCCAGGAGCCCATTACTTAGGGCCCTGAAGCAGCATATGGCAGTTTCCGGCCTTTCCCTACATCTGGACAGTTTGGAAAGCCGCAAAACTCTAGAACAAAAATTTATCTTTCAAATCGACGCTATTGATCACCACCGTATCAACGCGCGCTTTTCATTCAACAAATTTATTATTTTTTTCTCCTCACCATATTCCCACCAATAGCGTAGCTCCATTTTCTGCAAATAAAACCACACACAACCCACAATTCCTCTAATCGCTCTGACGAAGGGTTTAAACGAGCTCGAGGCGTCAGTTTTTCAATTCTTTGCGGTGGATAGTACTAAATTACCCCACCTTCACGAAAGACCGAGCATTTGCCTTGCCTTTCAAGGTAGGTTGAGTGGATTAACTTGTGCAACTGATTTGCAACTGATTTGCCGATAGTCATCAAACAGTACATTACAGCGACAAGGAAGACGTCGATTTAGAAATGAATATATATTTTCAGTTGGAATTTCGCGAATGACTGGATGTACTAACCATCTCTTATGAGAGCAGCGTTGATTTCCAAGTGAAAAGTTAAATAATTTGCCGTCCACGTTTCTTTTCTCGGAAAACGCAGATTTTGATAATTCACGTTATTATCTGCGACTTTAAGCAAACCGCGACGACGACAATAAAGGGAACGTGGCAAAACAAAAGATCTAATTGGCAGAACAATTGCTCAGCTCGTGCGTTTTAAAGCTTTGTAAATTTCTTAGGCTTGCTCTGCAAAACAACAACAACGTGAAATCACCAAAATTTGCATGGTCTGCGAACGGAAAAGGGGAACGACAAATTATTTTGATTTCCATTTGGAACTCAAAGCTGCCACCATAATTATGTTGTGCTGAAGTAAAGGTGTGGCTTTGTAAAAAGTAAACACATCTTGTCATTTTCGAAATTCTAACTAAAAATAGAAATTGACTTTTTAATCGACGTCCTCTGTGGCGTAGCTTCCTGATTGCCTAAGGTCCCTATTTTTCAGAGGCCGGATAAGAAATGAAAACAGTTTTAAAAGGGAAGCGCTGAGCTATTGTTCTGCCCAAAGAAGTCTTTCAAGTTTTTATGTCACGGCCAAGTCATTGTTTCCGTCGCCGTCGTGGCTTTTTTTTTCAGTTTTTAATTTTATATATTTCTGATACAAAATACAGACATAATTAAAGTTACTACACAGAAACAAGGAGGTTTTACCAACAACAGCCGCGCAGTAGCTGCAGTGAGCATTTTCACCAAAATAATCTTTATAAAAAAAGTATCTTTCGATGCCGTCCAATGCTTTCCCATGCTGTCTGTCGTGTATTCGTGGTATCTTTCGATACGTCGACAAAATTCGGTTTACATTTGTTCAGGTCTTCGCTAGTTGTCGCCGTTACGAATTAAACATGACTGGTCAAAATTGCAGCTTTATCTTCGTGCGCGATGCGATCCACGTTTGGAGAAGTTGGAGCCGATTTTGCTGGCAAAAGTCGAGTGTATATTATGATCGATATCGATAGCAAGATCTACTCTCGCTCGTCATTAAGAAAAAATAGGTTTTAACGGGGTTTAGACAGTTTTAAGCTAATTCCGACATATTTTTTGAAGGAATCTTTGTTGGATAATTTGTTGTAGGATGTTTCTTCTTTTTCCAAAAATCCTCGTGTCCTTTTTCCAAGGATCAGCGCGTCCTATTCTCGATACCAGCTTTGACTGATTAAAGACTGACAGATAAGTTTGCCAACAAAAGGCAACAGATGACTGAAATATTGACCAAAACTTAGCGTCATATGGTCACAAAAATAGGCTGTTTGTATAATTGAAAAGAAAAACTAAGCTTTGTTAATGAAATTCTGTAGAGATTATGCCATGAAACGCGTCACTAAAGTCTTACAAGCACATGCCGTCTTTCGCGTATTCTTGGTATCTTTCGATACGTTAACAAAATTTTGTTTACATTTGTTCAGTCAGGTCTTCCCTAGTTGTCGCCGTTACGAATTAAACAGTACTGTTTAAAATAGCAGCTCTATTATCGTACGCTACGCAATCCACGTTTGGAGAAGTTCGAGCCGATTTTGCTGGCGAAATTTGAGTAATATATTATGATCGATATCAATAGCAAGATCTATTTTTGCGCGTTATCAGGAAGAAACAGTTTTTTTTTCCACGAATCTTTGTTCGATAATTTGATGTAAGATGTTTCTTCTTTTTCCAAGAATCCTCGCGTCCAATTCTTTATACCAGCTTTGTTTGATTAAAGACTGACAGAGAAGTTTGCCAACAAAAGGCAACAGATCACTAAAATATTGTCAAAATAATTAAAGTTAGTCATGTTTCCTGTAGCGATCCTTTCGACCGAGAAATAATTCGCTCTTTCTTCGACGTGTACCGCAACTATCTGTCAGAGAAATCTGTAAAACCTTGAGATTCTGCGGCAAATGATCCAACTTTTTTAGACAACCGTGGCACTGTCTACAATTAAATGTACTTTCAGAAACGATCACACGACTGACACTTCGTTTCGTTTCGTTTCGATTTCGTTTGACATCGTTTCGTTTCGTTCGTTTCGTAAGCGCGATGCCAATGGAACAACGTCCTCTCCTTATTCTATTCCAAATATCACCTAAAATATTTTTCTATATCCTGAAAGCAAAGTAGATAACTAAACGCGGACACTGAATTGCAAATTTACCCGAAATAATGGAAAATAAGTTCACTTGAATTATTGTTTAGCTCGATTACCTTTTTCGCTAGCACGCAAAAAATATCATCAAGTCACATAATTTTGCATAGATTAGAGTGACTTCCCTCGCTTTCGTCTCACCTTGGGGAGGGGGTGGGTACGCCTTACGTAAGCTAACGGATAACCAAAGTATTGGCCAACATTCAACATCTTACGATCACAAAAATAGCCCGTTTGTATGATTTGAAAGAAGAACCAAGCGCACCTTTAAGTAAACTAAATAGAGAACAAAACACAGAGCACTCAAAGTATTTGAAAGAAAAACTAAGCGCTCCCTTAATGTAAAATAAATAGAGAAAAAAACACAAGGCACTTAGAGTATTGACCACCGAATTTGATCAATATTTTTAGATGGAAGAGGATGAAATACAGGTTGAAGGTTTGAATGCCTGAACTGATCAATATATTACTATGACAATACCACAGCAAATCGACTGAGGAGAATTAAGCGCAAGCACAGTTAAGATTTATCAAAATTTGTCTCAGCGATGTAAATTTTCTTGCATTCTACTCTTCCACCACGTTGCACGTAACCAGTAGTCGGGCGACTGATCCCACATGGAAATAAAACACCTGAAGATCAGAGTATCAGCAGCCGAATTTTGATTTCTCGTCATAATAAAAAACTAAGCACTTACGTCTTCATAGATGACTCAAAACTGTTTCAACAAATCAACTCTTTAAAGGCTGCGACACGAATGAAGCACGTGTGAGCAAAATCACTTAATGATCCAATTGATGCCAGATGTTGTCCGAAGAGTATTTATGTCGGCGTCATAATCTTTTGGCTGAGGAAAACAAACAGCGTATTATTATTTTGACAATGCTTACTAAATATTTCTTAATAATTTTCTATCCACAATGGTTTGGTCAATTTACAAATGTTTTATTTTCTTCCTCTTATATTAATAAAAATTATTTTTTTCAAAGTTTGTTATCAAGAATGGCACATGAAGGGACCTCAGAGAAAAGTTCTGATGCCTCGGCAACTGAAGTTGGTCAGATTATATTTGGTGCAAAAAACTTGGAGTATCAGATCGAAGAATTTGTCAGTTCCGGTGGCCAGACAGTTAATATCCTCCTGAGTGGCAAGACAGGAGTTGGCAAGTCTTATTTGACAAATGCGCTCATTGGAGAAAACGTTGCAGCAGAAGGATATGACATCGACCCACAAACTGATGACGTAAGCTACTTTGATATCGACAATTACTTCACCTTTTAAACTATTATGAGGTGCTTTCATTAACGGGTTACTGTGCATTACTTGTGGATAGGAAAAGGGATAATATCTCGCGTCCATGCATGTCTAGAATCCATCTGTTCCCTTTTTTTCTTCCGGAAATTCCCATCTTTAATACTTGAAATTAAGAAAGAATTATCGAATTACTCTACAGGTATTAGGTACAAAATTACTCTAGGGATAAGAAAATACTTCTTTTCAACGTCTTTTAGACGGACAGGGCTTTATATGAATAAAACGTTTTCATGCATTTTTCTCGCGTAACTGAGGTAACATACCAAGCCATATCATAATGAAATCTCTGTTAGAGTTAAAAGTAGTAATCATTTCCTGTTTTATGTCCCTCAGGTAACTGCTTATGAAGTTGTCAAAAACGGCGTAACTATCACAGTGTTCGACACTCCAGGACTTGCAGACGCAACCGGCAATGATGAAGAATATCTGCGGAAAATCAAGGAGAGAGTGACCCACTTCGACTTGTTTCTCTTCTGCACTGAGATGACCAGTAAGCGATTCCGCACCGACGACTTGGAAACGATAAAGAAGCTTACAGAAGCCTTGGGGGAGAAACTTTGGGAACATGCTCTGGTGGTTTTAACCTTTGCCAACGAAGTCCCACTATCGCCAACCAAGAAGACAGATGACGTACCTGAAGCAACCGCTTTCAATGACAGCGTTTTAGCTTTCAAGAAAGCGATAAACAAACATTTGGTTGCTATCGGAGTACCTGATATTACAGCGGCTAATGTGCCATTTACGCCAGCCGGAGAGTTGGATGATCCAAGACTTCCAGATAGAGAAGACTGGTTAACAGCATTTTGGATCTCAGCTTTCAAACGTATCAACAAGAACGCAAAAGCTGCTTTCCTGATGGTAACTGTTGATCGTATTTCATTTTCTTCCACCCTTAGTGACGGAAACGAAGAAATCAAAGTAAGGAAAGATGGCAACGTTGTCAGTCTTGGCCAGTTCGGTAATTTATCCATCGAAGACAGGAATGCAATCACAGAGCTCAAAAAAAAATTGAAAGAGAGCGACTTTGACGAAAAATTGAACCGTTGTTTCCAGAAAGGCGGGACGTCCGACGAGCCTGGCCAAGATTCAAAGGTGTCAGGTCCCTCCATCAAGGTGAATGAAACGTACTCTGAAGAAATCATTAGGGATGTGTTTGGCGGTGTATCAGGGCAACTCATCGGTGAGCTGACCGGTGCTAAATCTGGTAAAAAGTACCAAACATTCTTCGGCTGGCTAACGAAGTATTTTAAGAAGTCTTACCCAACTTCCCGACCCACTTAAGCTGGACCAGAAGGCATGAAGAAATGATCACACGGTGGCCAAAAGAGTGAAAAAGAAAGGAACTATTTGCCATTAAAAATATCAATCAGTTACACTATGAACATATAATCTATTGACGGAAATGAACTCTATATACTTAAAAGGTTCATGCCACGTTTCTGAAATAAAATATTCTGTAGAAAAAGGTTCAGATAGATTGCATATAGCTCCAAGCGTTTTTCTGTTACAAGATAAGACGAGTTTCATTCATCTGCAGATAAAGTTGCTGAGTTCTAAGTTCAGGTAGATTGCATATTATATGTGGGCTTGTTAGAGATCCAAGCGTTTTTTGTACAAGATAAGACGAGTTTCAAGCATCTGCAGATTGAGTTTCTGAGTAAAATGAAACTATTTAGCTCTATTTAATACAGAAGACTGATAAATTAAACTTTAAAAAACGTCTTTTGTGATTTTTCTTTAATTTGTGTTATTAGTAACACCACCCAAAAGAAAAGGGTTGTAGAGTTTTTGTTTCCGTGCCTGAATTTTACGGGAAAAGATGGACAAAAGTATTTAGCAGGCGTTTGAGAACTTTGTTAGAAGAAAGCCTTCCTTGAGTCCTTCCTTATTTAATTTCCTCCTTATACAGTACTAAAGAGTAAAGAAGGCCAGCTTGAATCTGTTATTCTCTGTGCCTACTTGTGCCTGTTTTCTATCAAGCTTCTAACTTCTATGAGACCGACCAGTATTTATCGCCTGGGGGAATGGGGGAACGGGAGGAGTTTGGTTGTGTCATAATAAAGTTTACCTGATTCCCCCCCCCCCCCGAAAGGCTCTCTAGGGTTCTAATGAACCCCCGCGTTGACAGGCAATTGTCTATGGTCCCCCCTTCATAGTTTTCAAGGAAAGAATGATACCCGCTCCGTTCCCGCTGAAAACGTTGTATTCCCCTAAAATCCTTCCGCTCTCTTGATATTTTTAGTGTTCATTTTTTCTCAGCCTTTTCCCGGAATGTTTGCTGTTATTCTTTGCCCCGCGACAACTCATGTAATAACTGTGGCCGATACGAAAAAACAAAAAGCACTAACTGTTCCAATGTTTTAAAATTGTTGAGGCAAGATGGAATGAAAAATTACTTTTCCTTACAGACCATGATGATTGAATCGTCATTGTTGTGTCCATCTCTACAATGACCATAGTACTATTATTTGTCTCCAAAACTTGTTAGGAAACTGTCAATTGAGTCACAAATTACCAAAGAACAAAAAGAAACAAAATAGAAGATGCAGTGTGGAGCTTGAGCACTAGTTTCTCGTGTTACGCACTATAATGCACCGCATCGCTAGGGTAACTCACACTGCCTTCTTCAAGACCGTCTGAGGTACCGGAGTGGTTGTCAGACATCTTCACGAAAGACTTTGAGACTGAAACCTGCAGATATAATAATAATTGTAATTACTGCATTAACTTTCAAGGTAAGTTTGTTGGTGAAATTTACAAGAGCAACTGATTTTCCGATTAATATCTAACAGTACATCACAGGCATTCAGCGTTACTAAAGAAATTCTGCAAAGATATGCTATGCAACGAGTCACGAGAGTCTCACAAGCAAATGCCGTCCGTTGTGTATTCTTTAGTATCTTCGTTACATCGAAAAAATTCGGTTTACATTTGTTCAGGTTTTCACTAGTTGTCGCTGTTACGAATTAAACAACACTGGTTAAAATAGCAGCTTTATTATAGTTCGATACGCGATCGACGTTTGGAGAAGTTTGAGCCGATTTTAAAGGCGAAAATGGAGTAATATACTATTATCGATATCGATAGCACGAACTACTTTCGTTCGTCATCAAGAAGAAATAGTTTTTAACGGGGTTTGGACAGTCTTAAGCTAATTCCGAAGCATTCTTTTAAACGAATCTTTCTTCTATAACTTGTTTTAAGATGTTTTTTCTTTTTCCAAGAATCCTCGCGTCCTTTTCTCAATAACTGCGTTGTTTGATAACGACTGACAAAAATAAGGTTAAAAACAAAAGCCCACAGATTACCAAAGTATTGAACAGTACTTGGCGTATAGGGTCACAGAAACTTTAACCTGCTGTTTGTATAATTTGATAGAAAAAGTAAGAGTACTCTGAAAGCAAAGCAAGGTTCCAACAACCTCGCGTCCTTTTCTCGATAACCGCGTTGTTTGATAGCGACTTACAAAAATAAGGTTATTGACAAACGCCCGCAGGTAACCGAAACATTGAACAGTACTTGTCTAATAGGGCCACAAAAAGTTTAGCCTGTTTGTATATTTTGGTACAAAATCTAAGAGCACTCTTAAAGCGAACCGAGGTTCCAAGAATCCTCGCGTCCCGGCTTTTCTCGAGAACAGCCATATAAGATTCCACGACTGACAAATAAGATTATCAAGCCAACGGATTACACAAATAGTGAATAACTTTCAACATCTCAGGGTCACAAAAATAGCCTGTTTGAATAATTTGAAAGAAAAACTAAGCGCATCCTTGAAGTAAACTAAATGGAGAACAAAACACAGAGCACTCTGAGTTTTGACGACCAAATTGGATCAAAATCAAATACGTTTTTAGATCGAAGAGAAGAGAAGAGAATGAAATACAGGTTTAAGGATTGAATGCCTAAACTGATCAATACGTTTAAGCGTCAATACCACCGCAAATTGGATGAGGTGAAGTAATCGCAAGCAAACTAAAGTTAAGATTTATTTAAATTTTTCACAGCGCTGTAAATTTACTTGCACTGTACTCTTCTGCCACGTAACACATAGCCAGAAATCAGGCGACTGATCCCGTATGGAGATAGAACACCTGAAGATCAGAGTATCGGGACCCGAATTTTAATTTCTCGTGGTATTCAACAACTAAGTACTTACGTACTTATAGGGCCACAAAAAACTGTTTTAACAAATCAACTCTTTAAAGGCTGTGACACGAATGAAGCACGTGTGAGCAAAAATCCCTTAGTGATCCGATTGATACCAGATGCTCTCCGAAAAGTATTTATGTTAGCGGCATAATCTTTGGCTGAGGAAGTAATGCGGGTTCTGGCGCATTTCGTGTCCAACAATGTATAGACAATTTCTTTTAAAAAATCGTGTCTATTAGAAATAATGAAGAAGTGTCGTCAATGCAAGCATGATGAAGCTTAACAATTCTTTACAAAAAGGTGAAGGAACTTTTAAAGATTGTAAAGCATTCTTGAAAAGAAAAATTAAACGTCAGCCCACTACGGAGGACACATCTTCATATTATGACTATTACTGATGTGTCTAAGTACACAAAGTTATTCATCACAGATGATAAGTATCTGAAACTTGTTTGTGATGGTAACTTGAAAGTATGACACTCAAAACAAATGTCACCACCTCTGGATAAGGACATTCCTAAATTTTGCGAGAGGAGATTGTTAAGGGATCGGTAAAAGATGTTTTGGTGACAGATGAATATGAGGATGAGAAGTTATCTAAATCTTTTCAACGGGTTTGGATTGTTGATATTGTTATTACTGAGCACTGAATTAAAAATGTAACCCTGATTTCAAGGCAACTCATGAATTTAACCTCGAAAATCAAGATTGATTTAACCTTGATTTCAAAGGGGGTTCTAGCGCATTTTGAAAACAAACTTGATTCCTAGGCAACTCATGAATTTTTTAACCTCGAAATAAAGGTTGATTTGAACTGCTGCTGAACTATTTTCGAAAAACTGTTTAACCTTACAAAGAATTTGTGATGGAGAGAAGAGGATTTAGATAGAACTGTGAAATTTGCCGAGAAAAGAAGTCAATGTGATCGAATTTACTTAAAGATCATCAATGATATTTGAAAGAAAGAGCTTTCTCTTTCATATTTTTTTTTTTTTGTATTAAACACGTAGGTAGTCTGATGTGCAGGTGATCAAATATTTATTTTAAAGAATTTGCATGTCTAGATATAAACAGCGAAAACCCGTTTGATTTTATTCGAAAGTCAAATCTTATTTCGTTATGTTTATGAGTGATCCAATCGCCTTTGAAAACAACCTGCTCGCTGACAGGTGCTTTGCCTCTGCTATTGAAATAATTTTTTTTCATATTTTGTAATTTTCTTTTTGAGAGTCTTGCTCCCAACACTAGATGTTGATATAAATCCTTAAAAGCCGGTTAGGCCGGCCATGGCACTCCTGAAATAATCCCAATTCCACTCAGAGAAACCGCTACACCGCTTATTGTCAATACAGCCGCCGTTACTCCTGTCACAGTGTATGTTGTGTGAAAACCGGATCTAATTCTTTAATTTGCTAAGGACAAGTTGGTAATGAGTCAAGTCATTCTCAAGCTCCTCTCCAACCTGAATTTGTCTGGTATTATAATTGGATAAATCGGAGGAGCGCTAGGCCGAAGGCCCGGTCCTTCAGGGCTTGGCTGAAGGCTTAGACCGCTTTGCGACCCCTGGCTAACAGAGCTTCGCAAAATATTTTGATCAGAAATTTTTTTGCATCATTAAATAATCTCTAATTCAAACTTCAGTGGCATACCATTGAAACGGATGATATTGTTATTCTCATCAGTGACGAAAATTCGTATGGAAGTGTTATCATTCCTTGGTGGTATTTTTCGTAACACATGATTCGTTGGAGAATAATTTACCCTTTCAAACTGGTTCTCGGCAATTCATTGTGACTTTAAATCCTTTTTCTTCACTTAATATTTTCCCAGGGGCTTTTGCAAGGCTCTCAAGAGTATATTTGCCTGAAGAAATCCTTTTAACACTTGCATTGTTTTCTCTATCGAAGATAGATACTTTTCCTCTTCTCTTCAAATTATACCATGGATTATAGTGAGAACAAGACATAAGTCTGATATAGCTTGATTTGCCGAGAAGGTCTTTAAAGCGAACCATGTGATCATTTGAGTCTGCAATAATTGTCGAAACAACCATTTTCATTACAAACGCAATAAAAAAAAATGTGTGTGGCTAAGATAAGATGAAGCAAATAAAATTGCAGATAAAGCAAAGACAAAAAGCCTGGAACGTCTTCAAAGCGTGTTATCCAAATGCGGACCTGAGCGAGTTTAGTGCTCAAGTGTCGTTCGATGATAAAAGACAGGCAAAAGCTGAAGTTTACTTAAATCGATCAGATGGAGTTCAGACGATTGTCGTGGGATCAGATAGAAAATATTGAGATGATGACATGAAGAAGGCACTTGGAATTGGAGGTTTTCCCTTGAACTCACTCAAAACTTAATTGGAAAGAAGGAGGTATAGGCAGTTCCATTTTACGAGACTGTTGTCAGCCGCTTCAACGAGGAGATGAAGATCTTTGTTACCCCAAATCAATACTTAAAGGCAAAATTCAGAGGAATATTCACAAGGACGAAAATTCAGCACTCTTCCGGTGCAGAATCAAAGGGATGGCTCGCTGGGCCGAACATGGGTTACTGGCCTCAACAGCTCATATTTGCAGTATGGTACGCAACGAGAAGCTGTGGAATATCCCGTGAAGTTCTCGATAAGGTTTCAGAACAGATCAAGTCGTTTCTGATGTTCCACATCTACTTCACAGGCAGAAGGATTCTTTTTGAGATGGGTAGAATTCAGAGTGAATCGGCTCTTCCAGGTGACACGCCATCGTTCAGACGAATATGCCCAGAATTTGGAATTTCACCAAGCGCTGACATCCGCTTCAAAAGTAGTGATAATCACGATCTCTGATCTGTTTTCATTTATGTGATAAATGCTGGACTAATGGCAATTTCAATCTCATATCTGGTTAATAACAAGTTCAGCGACGAGGGTGGATTAGCCATTAAAGGAAATCTTATTTATTTCATAAGGAAAGATAATACGAATTAGTTGAGAGGCAATTCAACTTCTTCATGGCAGACAAGTCAGAAGGTTTGACGCAAGCTGGGATGGCGAGACTGAATCAGTCGACTGAGGCATTCGTTTACTGCATCCTTAGTTCAATATTCAATGTCAGATCATCAATCTTGGGCTCAGGAAGCGCTAAGGAATTCGAAGCCCAACGTGAGTTCCTGGTATTGGTTGAGGATGCGGTCAGAAAGCCAGACATTTCGGAGAGCGATTGATGAGGCAATAGTCAGGCTTGATCTTGCAGTCTCACCAGGCACTTGGCTTATGCCCTCACATCTTCTTCTTAACACTCAGAGTACGGTTGGGTATAATAACAGCTTGAAGAAAACAAATGAAGACATGGAGCTGGGAGTCAACAAATCAGTTCATTTGGAGATGAAACCAGTCTGTGTAAGGCATATGAATGAAGGCTCATTAAAGATCTAAAGGCCGACCTTTCAGCCTTCGGCCGGGTCGCGTATCCATCACCCTTCAAATAAAATTGAAAAGACTTCAACTGAAGTTCAGGTGAAGACACCACCGAGGTTATATGAAAGGCTAAGCTCGAGCGACAGCAAGACAAATCATGATATTGTAAAGGTCGGATTGATTTCAGCAGGTTTGGTCTCAGCCTTCATGGTTCATCGCTTATTCTTCTGAAAGCGTTCAACCATAAATATGGCGACTTCCATTATCAGAATGATTGCCGGTGGATTGATTCTCAAGTATGGAAGGTACACGGCAACTGCAAGTGCCCCTCTTCTCACTGTCAAAAATGTTGAAGTACCCTTGATCAATGATAAGGAAAAGGACAATACTTGTGAAGAAACTGAATAAGCTCTTATTCAATTACTTGATAAGAACTTGAATGAGAACTTGAGTAAGTACTTGATAAGAACCTAAAATTGCATATCAACTAATAAAATGGATAATAAAGAAGAAGAAGCACCGGCTAACCTTCCGGGCCTCATAGAGGCTCAACAGGTGACTCCAACTGATAAAATAAGACGAAACCAAATAAAGACTCAGGTCGTGTCGCAGCCACCAGAAAGCTTGCTGAATACAACAGAAGAGTTAGAGAGGAAAAGAAGAAGAAAGGAGATTCAAAGAAATCCGAAGATCCGAAAGATCTAGGCCTTGAAGAGGCAGGCACCATAGGCGTAAGATTACAACCAGAACAAGAAACATCATCATCATTCTCACTCACCCAAATTCTTTCAGTAGTAAGTGTTGTTCTATCACTGGCTGGACTGTACTATAAAAAGAAAAGAGTTTGATGGCGCTCGTTGATAAACCAAAACCAGCACAGCAAAAAGAAACGCAGCAAAACACAAAAAGAAGATGATTGTCAATGGACCCAGGCCCCGAATGGGCAAGCCGTGGAGTGCGAGAAGATATAACATTGATATTTGAAAATCTTCACAACACCCCGCTGGCGTGACAAGAGAATTGTTCAAGAGAATCGTTCAAGAGAATTATATTCACAACCTCTCTAGAACTCACGAGTAAGACATTGTGAACGGGTGAAAAAAATTCAAGTTGCCTTGAAATCAAGGTTGTTTTCAAAACGCTGAAAAACTGTTTTTTGAAATCAAAGTTGAAATCAAGCTTGATTTCGAGGTTAAAAAAATTTGTCATTTGCCTTAAAATCAAAGTTGTTTTCAAAATGCGCCAGAATCCCCATTTGAAATCAAGGATAAATCAATCTTGATTTTCGAGGTTTAATTCATGAGTTGCCTTGAAATCAAGGTTACAGTTTTTACTCAATGTTCATTAATAACATTATCAACAATCCAAACCCATTGAAAAGATTCAGATACCTTCTCATCCTCATATTCATCTACCACCAAAACATCTTTTACCAATCCCTTAACAATCTCCTCTCACAAAATTTAAAAATGTCCTTATCCAGTGGTGGTGACATTTGTCTTGAGTGCCATACTTTCAAGTTACCATCACAAACAAGTTTCAGATACTTATCATCTGTGATGAATAACTTTGTATACTTAGACACGTAATAGTCCTAATATGAAGACATGTCCTCTCTAGCATGCTTCAAGAATGCTCTACAGTCTTTACAAGTTCCTTCACCTTTTGTAAACAATTGTTAAGCTTTATCTTGCTTGCATTGACGACACTTCTTCATTATTTTTTTAATACATGTTTTTTTGAAAAGAAATTATGTCTGTACATTGATGGAAATGAAATGCGCCAGAACTTGATTTTTTTTTTTACTACAGAGGAAAACAAACAGCGCCGTATTATTATTTTGACAATCCTTACTAAATTTTTTCGTACTACTTTTCTATCTATCATGGTTTGGTCAGTTTACACGTGGTTTATTCTCTTCCTCTTTACATTGAATAAATGAACGACACCTTTTAAAAACATGTTTCGACAGTTCTTCTGACATCTTCAGTTCTGAATAATATAAATTACAAAGGTGAATTTGAAGTGTGTAACATTTATAAATATTATTTTATTTCAGACTTTGTTATCCAGAATGGCACAGGAAGGGACCCCAGATAAAAGTTCCGATGCCTCGGCAACTGAAGTGAGTCAGATAATATTTGGTGCAAAAAACTTGGAGTATCAGATCGAACAGTTTGTCAGTTCCGGTGGCCAGACAGTTAATATCCTCCTGAGTGGCCAGACAGGAGTTGGCAAGTGTTATTTTACAAATGCGCTCATTGGAGAAAACCTTGCGGTAGAAGGCTTTGACATCGACCCAGAAACTAATGACGTAAGCTACTTTGATATCGACAGTTACATCACCTTTCAAACTATTATGAGGTGCTTCCATCAACAACTTACTGTGCATTACTTTTAGATAGCATAAGGAATATTATTTCGCGTCCCATCTTTGATGCTTGAAATCAAGAAAGAATTATTGAATGCTTTTATGGGTATTAGGTAAAAAGTAACTCGAAGGACAAGAAAAAACCATTTTCCAAGGTCTCTTAGACAGACAAGGCTTTCCAATGAATAAATCGTTTTCATGCATTTTTCTCGTGGAACTGAGGTAACATACAAAGACATATCATAATCAAATCGCTGTGAGAGTTAAATGGTTTATTAATTTTCTGTTTCATGTCCCTCAGGTAACTGCTTACAAGGTTGTCAAAAACGATGTAAGTATCACAGTGTTCGACACTCCAGGACTTGCAGGCGCAACCGGTAATGATGAAGAATATCTGCGGAAAATCAAGGAGAAAGTAATCCACTTCGACCTGTTTCTGTTCTGCACTGAGATGACCAGCAAGCGACTCCGCACCGACGACTTGGAAACGATAAAGAAGCTTACAGAAGCCCTGGGGAAGAAACTTTGGGAACATGCTCTTGTGGTTTTAACCTCTGCCAACGAAGTCGCGAAGAAGAAGAGGAAGACGGATGACGTACCTGAAGCAACCGCCTTCAATGACCGCGTTTTAGCTTTCAAGAAAGCGATAAACAAACATTTGGTTGCTATCGGAGTACCTGAGATAACAGCGGCTAACGTGCCATTTACGCCAGCCGGAGAGTTGGATGATCCAAGACTTCCAGATAGAGAAGACTGGTTGACAGCATTTTGGATCGCGGCTTTCAAACGTATCAATAGGAACGCAAAAGCTGCTTTCTTAATGGCAAGTATCGATCGTATTTCATTTTCCTCCAGTGAGGGGAAAGAAGAAAGCAAAATAAGGAAAGATGGCAAAGTTGGCAATCTTGGCCAGCTCAGAAAGTTATCCATTGAAGAAAATAATGCAATTACAGAATTCAGAGCAAAATTGAAAGAGAGCGACTTTTACAAAGAATTAAACCGCTGTGTGGAGAAAACTAAGATGTCTGATGAACCTGAAGAGGAGTGCCCCACATCACCTGGCCAAGATGTAAAGGTGTCAGGCCCCTCCATCAAGGTGGGCGAAACGTACTCTGAAGACCTCATTGAGGATATGTTTGGCGATGTGACAGAGCTACTCCTCGGTGAGCTGACAGGTGCTAAGTTTGGTAGAAAGTACCAAACATTCTTCGGCTGGGTTATGAAATATTTTAAGAAGTCTTACCCAACTTCTCGACCCACTTTCGCTTAAAGGCTTGACCAGAAGGTATGAAGAAATGATCACATGGAAACCAAAAGAATGAAAAAGAGAGAAACTCTGTGCCATTATAAATAACTACCACTTAGACTATGAACATATGATCTATTAACAAAAATGAACTTTGTATACTTAAAAGGTTTATGTCACGTTTCTGAAATTAAATGTGCTGTAGAAGAAATGGGTCAGATAGATTGCATGTTATATGTCGGCTCGTTAGAGGTCCAAGCGTTCTTTTGTTGCAAGATAGGACGAGTTTCAACCATATACAGATTAAGTTGCTGAGTACAATGAAGCTATTTGATACAGAGGACCGATTCATTAATTATAAACTTTGAAAAATGTCTTTTGTGATTTGTCTTTAATTTGTGCTATTAGTAACACCATCAAAAGAAAAGGATTATAGAGCGTTTTCTTTCTGAGCCTGAAATTGACGGGAAAAAGATGGACAAAAGTTTCTACTAGGCGTTCGTTAACTTAAACAGAAGAAAGCATTCCTTGAGTCCTTCGTTGTTTAATTTCCTCATTATACAGTAGTGAAGAGCAAACAAGGCCCGCTTGAATCTTTATATCCTCTGTGTCTACTTGTGCCTGTTTCCTATCAAACTTCAAGCTTCTATAAGACCGGCCATTATTTTTCGCCTGGGGGACTGGGGGGACGAGAGGATTTTGGTTGTGTCATAATAAAATTTACTTGATTTCCCACCCGTAAGGCCCCTGTGAGGTTCTAATAAATCCCTCGCATCGACAGGAAATTGTCTATAGTCCCCTTCTATAGTTTTCAATCAAAGACTGATACCCCCAAAAAAGTTGTGTTCCCCTAAAATTTTCCCATCCCCCCCCTTTTATTCCAAATCGAGTTAAAGTGCACCTTTCATGGTCTTTACAATTACTAAAAACAAGCAAATCAGCAAACAAACAAACAACAAATACAGCATTAGATAACAGAGACAAGTATTAAATTTCCTTGTACTCGGGCTGCCCTAACAGTTCTTAGCATAATTTTTGACCACAAGAATTTTCATACCTTTGGGTTGAGATGACCTCAAACTAGAACTCGGCGTATGAATTTGTCAGGTCTCTCGGCTGATTTTTTGTTTTCATTGATTTACACTCATGACACACGTGAGAAACTGAATGCGTACAACGTGATATAATCAAGACATAAGAACAAGAGCGTGACTGCAAGTAGCGCTCATAACTGAGGAGCGTTTGGATTTCTTTAGTGTTCATTTTTTCTCTCAGCCTTTTTCCGGAACGTTTGCTGTTATCCTTTGCACTTCGACAACTCATATAACAACTGCGGCCGATACGAAAAAACAAAAAATATTAACTGTTCCAATGTATTAAAATTGTTGAGGCAAGATGGAATGGAAAATTACTTTTCCTTACAGACTTTGATGATAAAATCGTCTTTTAGTATCCATCCCCACAATGACCATGGTACTCTTAGCTGTCTCCAAAACTTGTTAGAAAACTGTTTATTGAGTCACAAAATACCATAGGAAAAAAAATAGAAGATTACAGTGTAATGATTGTGTAAGCGTCAAATAAAAAAAGTACTTAGAAAGCGAAGTAAGATTCCAAGAACCTCGCGTCCTTTTCTCCATAACCGCGTTGATAACGACTGACAAAAAATAAGGTTAATGACAAAAGCCGGCGGATTACCAAAATATTGAACAGTACTTGGCTGATAGGGTCACAAAAACTCAAGCTTGTTTTTTATAATTTGATAGAAAATCTAAGAGCACTCTCAAAGCGAGCTGATGTTCCAAGAATCCTCGCGTCCCGGCTTTTCAGAAGATTCCAACGACAGATAAAAAGTTACCACGCCAACGGATTACCAAAATATTGACATTGAACATCTTAGGGTCACAAAAATAACCTGCTTGAATAATTTGAAAGTAAAACTAAGCGCACCTTTAAAGTCAACTATATAAAGAACAAAACACAGAGTACTCTGAGTTTTGACGACCGAACTGATTAAAATCAAATACGAGATTTTAAGGCAAGTTTGCGCGACTTTTTCGATAGAGACATTTCTAGAAGAACAACAGAAAGCTATAGGTGTGTTTTTCGAAGGTTACGACGTCTCCTTTTCGTTACCAACTGGCTATGGCAATATATTAAGCCGCGCCAGGGATCGATCGCCTCTCTTTTCTAGAAGAAACTGCTCACTATATTTATTGTGCCACCTGTTAAAACTCTCATGGAAGATCAGATGCATCATCGGAATGGTCTTGGGCCAAGAGGATCGTCCGCCTTCAACTTTCGGTCTCTTTAAGAACGGTGCTGCGAAGCTAATGAATTAAAGCTAGTCATGTTTCCTGCAGCGATCCTTTCGACTAAGAAATATGTTTGCGCGTTTGAGAAATATAGGCTCGTTATAGCTTAAAGCATCTGCAGAAAAAGATGCTGAGTACAATGAAGCTATTTGATACAGAGGACTGATTCATTAAACTTTGTTATGAGACGGACCATTGTTTATCGCCAGGGGGGATGGCGGGACGGGAGGATTTTGATTGTGTCATAATAAAGTTTACCCCTCCCGAAAGGCTCTGTACGGTTTTAATGAACCCCCCTCATTGACAGGCAATTATCAATAGTCCCCTCTTAATAGTTTCCAAGGAAAGACTGATACCCCTTCGTTCCGTCTGAAAACTTTGTGTTTCCCATAAAATCCTCTCACTCCCCCCTCCCCTTTTATTCAAACTAGAGTCAAACTGCACCTTTAATGGTCTTATACCACCTGACCTTTAAAAGCGATCGACACAAACCCTCTATATATCCACAATCTTGAAGGATGTCTCGTCTTTAATATCGGTGTATATCTACAGTCGTGTAGGACTTCTTGTCTTTCATATCGGTGTATAATCACAATCGTGTAGGATTTCTTGTCTTTCATATCGCTGTATGTCCACAATCGTGGAAGATTTCTTTTATTTTATATCGTTTCCTTCATGTATGGTTTTCGCTGCCTATTAACCTGAAGGCGGGGTAATACAATGAAGGGCGGGAGTCGGGGGGCAGAGGAACACAAAAGAATGGAAGGCGGGAGAACGCGGTACAAGAAGTGGGAGGCTGTGACCAACTCCCGGTCTCTTCCTCCCCTTCTCCCCGGTCTCTTCCCCCCCCTTCCCCCTCCCCCCCCTCCCCCGCTAGACACTAATTCTAAGCTGCATCGAATTCAACCATGCATGCAATCAAGGCGTTAACGCATTTGTTGAACTGAAAGCTTCAATCACTTCGTGTTGGACACAGCATTTTCAAAACGGTAAGTGATCGAATAACGTGATCATATTCGTCCGATCAGCGTTAAATAAGCGTAGAATCAGTAGTCTTTCCGTATATCATTTGAAAATCAGATAACAAAGCCCGAACTCCTACTGGCATGACAAAACTTTCCGAGTATCACCCACTTTAACGGCAACCAGCCAACAACGTATTTCCTTTTTAAAAGAAAGAGCTGAAGACTAGTTTTGTAATACTGAAAGTACTACACACTGCAACTAGCTGGATGTTTACCTTTACTCTTTTATATTCCGCGATTACGGACGACGCTGAAGACTTATATTCGAATAAGAGTGGTTGAAAACACGGTATAAATGAAATATTAGCCAAATTACGTGCGAAAAGCGAATACAATCGGCGGAGGCTCCCAGTACGATTGGCAAGATAAAACAGCCTATGGAAGATTTAGTAGCAGACAACTGAGCAACTGTGTAATTTACCCTCCAGGGTAAACCACATCGTTGATCCCTAGCCGACGCACATAATATACACAAAGTATGCCTACTAAGGTGCAAACCACATACAATTCGAGTATTTGATTGCATTCTTCTCTTAAATGTAGTAAACACGCTCGACGGAAATGTTTAATAGAATATATATGACTCTCCTTTGAAGTGCCATGCTTGGTACGATTTCCGAGAATAAGTGATGCATGTTGATCTTTTGTTGAATAATTCTTTCGTTTCCACTGGTTTTGATTCTGCAATGGTCTTGGAATAAAGTTACGTCGTAAAGCTACGGAAAACTCTCTTTGACAAAAGGGGGCCTTTTTATCAAAGTGGGTTAAGTGAACGAAAATGTTTCAGCGCTTGCTCAAAGTTATGAACTGTTACTATGATATTCGAAGCAGAAAGTACATGAATATTTGATCAGTACTCACGCATCGTAAAATATATTCAATTTGCTCTAGATCCTTGATAATATTCATAGTAGAACTGAAGGGTAGAAGCTTTAAGTGAAGTGAATTGCTCAATCTTTTTATACGACGAATTATATGGATCGGGTCTCATGTTGTCACTTTTCGAATTTAAGATTTTGTAGACAACCATATGATTCAATATGGCGAAACTATTCCCTTTCAAACACAAGGTCAAGCTAGCTTGAAGCCATGAATATATCACATAAACAAATCGCAAAGCGAAAAAAATATTTACAGGTGTCCTCTGGTAACTGATGTATACACTTTTGCCGAGGAAACTGAAACAGCGTATTATTATTTTGACAATGCTTACTAAATTATTTTAACTACTCTTCTATCTATCATGGTTTGTTCAATTTACACTTGCTTTGTTTTCTTCCTCTTTTTACTAATAAATATTATCTTATTTCAGACTTTGTTATCAAGAATGGCACAGGAAGGGACCCCAGAGAAAAGGTCCGGTTCCTCGGCAAGTGAAGTTAGTCAGATTATATTTGGTGAAAAACACTTGGAGTATCAGTTGAACCAGTTTGTCAGTTCCGGTGGCCAGACAGTTAATATCCTCCTGAGTGGAAAGACAGGAGTTGGCAAGTCTTATTTGACAAATGCGCTCCTTGGAGAAAGCCTTGCAGTAGAAGGATATGACATCGACCCACAAACTGATAACGTAAGCTCCTTTGATATTGACAGTTACTCAACCTTTTAAACTATTATGAGGTGATTTCATTAACGGGTTACTGTGGATTACTTGAAGATAGCAAAAGCAATAATGTGTCGCGTCCTTCTCAGCAGCAGCATGTCTAAACTCCCGCTTTTTTTATTTTCTTCCGAAGAGTCCCATCTTTGATACTCGAAATCAAGAGCAAATTATTGAATGCATTTATGGGTATGAGGTAGAAAGTCATCCGAAGAATACGAAAAAACCAGTTTCCAGTCTCTTTAGTACAGATGGGGCTTTCCTTTGAATAAAACTTTTTCATGCATTTTCTCCCGCAACTGAGGTAACATACCAAGACATATCATAATGAAATCATTGTTAGAATTGAGTGTTGTATTAATCATCTGTTTCATGTCCCTCAGGTAACTGCTTTCGAGGTTGTCAAAAACGGTGTAAGCATCACAGTTTTCGACACTCCAGGACTTGCAGACGCAACCGGCAATGATGAAGAATACTTGCGGAAAATCAATGAGAAAGTAAACCACTTCGACCTGTTTCTGTTTTGCACTGAGATGACCAGTCGGAGATTCCGCACCGACGACTTGGAAACAATAAAGAAGCTTACAGAAGCCTTGGGGGAGAAACTTTGGCAACATGCTCTGGTGGTTTTAACCTTTGCCAACGAAGTCTCACTATTGCCAGCCAAAAAGAAAGATAACGTACCTGAAGTAACCTTTTTCAATAACCGCTTTTTAGCTTTCAAGAAAGCGATAAAGAAACATTTGGTTGCTATCGGAGTACCTGAGATAACAGTGACTAATCTGCCATTTACGCCAGCCGGGGAGTTGGATGATCCAAGACTTCCAGATAGAGAAGACTGGTTAACAGCATTTTGGATCGCAGCTTTCAAACGTATCAACAGGAACGCAAAGGCTGCTTTCCTAATGGCAAATGTCGACCGTATTTCACTTTCTTCCACCTTTGGTGAGGGAAACGAAGAAAGCAGAGTAAGGAAAGATGGCAACGTTGTCAATCTTGGCCAGTCCAGTAACGTATCCATGGAAGAAAGTAATGCAATGAAAGAATTCAGAGCAAAATTGAAAAAGAGCGACTTTGACAAAAGATTGAGCGGCTGTTTGGAGAAAACTGAGTTTGATGAACCTGAAGAGGAGTGCCTTACATCACCTGGCCAAGATGCAAAGGTGTCAGGTCCCTCCATCAATGTGGATGAAACGCACTCTGAAGAACTCATTAAGGAGATGTTGGGCGATGTACCAGGGCAATTCGTCGATGAGCTGGCCGGTGATAAGTTTGATAGAAAGTACCAAACATTCTTCGGCCGACTAACAAAGTACCTGAAGAAGTCTTACCCAACTTCCTGATCCATTTTAGCTTCAAAGGTGTGACCAGAAGGCGTGTAGAAATGATTAGATGGTGACCTAAAGGGTGAAAAAGAAAAACTGTGTGCCATTAAAAATATCAGCCAGTTAGACTTTGAACGTATAATCTATTAACAAGAATGAACTCTGTATCCTTAAAAGGTTCATGCTACGATTCGGAAATCAAACGTGCTGTAGAATAAAGGTTCAGATAGATTGCATGTTATATGTAGGCTCGGCAGAGGTCCAAGCGATTTTTTGTTACAAGATAAGACGAGTTTCAAGCATCTGCATATAAAGTTGTTGAGTACAATGAAGCGATTTGATTCAGAGGACCGATGAATTAAACTTTGAAAAATGTCATTTGTGATTTGTCTTTAATTGGTGTTCCTAGTAATACCATCAAAAGGAAAGGATTAGAGTTTTCATTTCCGTGCCTGAATTATGCGAGAAGAGACGGACAAAAGTATTTACCAGGCGTGTGAACTTTGAAAGGAGAAAGCCTGGTCCGAATCCTTCTTTGTTTAATGTCCTCACTATACAGTTCTGAAGAGCAGACAAGGCCAGCTTGAATCTGTTTATTCTATGTCCCTACTTGCGCGTGTTTACTATCAAGCTTCTAATCTCTATGAGACCGACCATTATTTATCGCCTGGGGCGGAATAGCGAAATGTGAGGATTTTGGTTGTGTCATAAGAAAGTTCTCCCCCTCCCCCGAAAGGCTCTGCAGAGTACTAATACTTTACTATCGCTGTATATCCACAATCGTATAGGATTTCTTGTATTTTATATCGTTTCGTTGATGTATGGTTTTAGCTGCCTATTCACCTGAAGGCGGGGGTAATAAAATAAAGGGCGGGATTCGGGAGGCAGAGCAACACAAAAGTACGGGAGGCGGGAGGCAGAGCAACACAAAAGTACAGGAGGCTTTGCCCAACCCCCAGTCTCTTTCCCCCCTTCCCTTCCCTTCCCTCCCCCGCTAGACACTAATTCTAAGCTGCAACGAGTTCAACCGTGCATGCAATCAAGGCGTTAACGCATCTGTCGAACTGAAAGCTTCAATCACTTCGCGTTGGACACAGCAGTTTCAAAACGGTAAGTGACCGAGTAACGTGATCATTTTCATCCAATCGGCGTTAAATCAGCGTAAAATCAGTAGTATTTCCGTATACCATTTGAAAATCAGATAATAAAAACCCGAACTCAGACTAGCATGAGAAACCTTTCGAGTATAACCGATTAAACGGCAGCCAGTCATCAACGTGTTTCCTAAAAGAAAGAGCAGAAGACTAGTTTTACAATACTGAAAGTGCCACACGCTGCAACTAGCAGGATGTTTACCTTCACTCTTTTACATTCCGCGATTTCGGACGACGCTGAAGACTTATATTGGAATAACAGTGCTTGAAATAATGGCATATATGAAATCTTAGCTCAGTTACACATCCTTAGCAGTATAATCACGTACGAAAAGCGAATACAATCGGTGGAGGGTTCCAGTACGATTGACAAGATAAAACAGCCCATGGAAGATTTAGTAACGGAAAGCTCTGCAAATGTGCAATTTACCCTCCAGGGTAAACAACACAGTTGATCTTTAACCGAATCACTTATAATAACACAAATCATGCCTGCTTAGCCGCAAACCACACACAGTTCGAGTACTTGATTGCATTCTTCTCTTAAATGTAGTAAACACGCTCAACGGAAATGTTTAGTAGTAGATATGAATCTCCTTTGAAGTGCCATACTTGGTGCGATTTCCGAGGGTAAGTGATGCACGTTGATCTTTAGTTGAATACTTCTTTTGTTTCCACTGGTTTTGATTCTGCAATGGCTTTGGAATAAAGTTTCGTCGTAAAGCTACGGAAAACCCTTTTTGATAAAAGTGGGCCTTATTATCAAAGTGGGTTAAGTGAACGTAAATGTTTCAGTGCTTGCTCAAAGTTATAAACTGCTATTATGATAGTCGAAGCAGAAAGTACATGAAAATTCAATCAGTACTCACGCACCGTGAAATACTTTCAATTTGCTATGTGATAATATTCATAGTCGAACTGAAGGGTAGAAGGTTTGAGTGATGTGAATCGTTCAATATTTATGTACGACGAATTATATGGATCAGGTCTCATATTTTCACTTTTCGAGCTTCAGATTTTGCAGACAACCAAATCATTCCATATGGCGAAATTATTCTCTTTGAAACACAAGGTCAAGCGAGCTTGAAGCCATGAATATATCACATAAACAAATCGCAAAGCGAAAATAATATTTAAAGATGTCCTCTGGTAACCGATGTAATGCTTACTAAATTTTTCTTACTACTTCTCAATCTATCATGGATTGGTCCATTTATACATGATTTGTTTTCTTCCTCTTTAAAAAAATTAATATTATTTTATTTCAGACTTTGTTATCAAGAATGGCACAGGAAGGGACCCCAGAGAAAAGTTCCGATTCCAAGGCAAACGAAGTTTGTCAGATTATATTTGGTGCAAAAAACTTGGAGTATCAGATCGAACAGTTTGTCAGTTCCGGTGGCCAGACAGTTAATATCCTTCTGAGTGGCAAGACAGGAGTTGGCAAGTCTTATTTGACAAATGCACTCATTGGAGAAAGCCTTGCGGTAGAAGGATTTGACATCAACCCACAAACTAACGACGTAAGCCACTTTAATATTGACATTTACTTTACCTTTTAAACTAATATATAGATTAAGCCAAGCCTAAAAGTGGAGTTACTGTTAGTTTATTTTCCAGCCCTTCACTATGATTAAAACTGTAACAAAACTCTTCAGCACTGGCTGTGGAAGAGTTTCCTCAAGGGGATTCAGGGACCAGTCCGGGAGGTGGAGAGGGAAGAATTGACGAGGTCTGGAAACTGGGGACGACGTTCTCACAAATTGCAAAGCGATCAACACGCATAGCATGTTAGTGAGCGGTGTCTTCAAGCAACTGAGAACCTTTGTTGTTGCTTCTGAGTTTTGATAAAATTTTTCGAAGATAGGGAATGTTTTCGTCTTCAGGTAAAGTCTATGATGTCAGCGTCAGTTGAAATTATATTCTATTGAACGTGACTTATAATTTCGGTGCGGGAAAATGAGTCGAAATTGAAAGAAATTAAGGACAGTAAACTACTTCGCGTTAATTAAGACATTACTAGTCGACTGAAGAACACTTTGAGTCAGTAAAACAGTGCGCCAGAATCGTATGGGCTTCTCTTAAATCTTCTCTTGAAGTTGTCAGGTATGACTGCTTGCCCCAACGTTTTTCCCTAACGTTTCAACCTCCTCTGTTTAGCGTAGAAAATTAAAAAGAAAAGTAATTTCCAACTCGTGTTTGAACCTTTATTTTTCTAAACCTTTTCTCTTTTGGCTATTCTTGTTCAATGACTGTCCTCTGGCTGGATATACACGGCGTTGAGAAGTTTTAAATGGTATTTTCTCATGTTTGCAAATAATTGAATTTACTGGAAGGTGGAGTTTTGCAACATGTTAACATGAAACGCAACTATAAACTTTATTGATATGTAAAAGGTTTTCATTTGACTATCTACTGGTAGGTCTTTGTATTACATTTCAACCCAACCATATTCCACAACTTTTAAACACTATTTCAAAATAATTCGTTATAAATTAAATGGAAAATGTGTGGCATATACACCATGTTTGAAATGACATGTCCATAATACGCTAACAGGATAGAGGGTGTATGTGGGAATAGGCTCTCTTGTCGGTATCATTTATTTGCTAATCACTCCTGTTGGCAATGTTTTGATGAGGTTGGGCTGTCAGGGCAAAGGAACTGAGGATTTTAGTAGGCAGTGCCTTTTTTCAAACCTGGAAACTATAATTGTGAAAGCCATACTTGTGCTTGGTAACTCATTCTTATTCCAATAAACTGGTTTTAAGAAGGATACAATATTTTATTACATAAATTTAATGTATAGGCTGTGCACAAAACTTTTATTTGACTATACTTTTATAACCAATACCAATCCCTACACACAATAAAATGTTAGGAGGATCAGAGAAAAAAATAATGTGCCATACTTCTGCAAGATTTCATGAAATTGTTTAAATTACATGAATATTTACTGATATGAGGGATCTGAGAATATTCAAAAGAAAATAAAATTTGGTTGAAGAATTAGAATTCAGCATGGGCCAGATAAACACGATTCTTAGAAAAAGGAATATTTACTAATGAAAAAGCTAAGCAAACTTTTTTACAACACCTGCCTGTACCTGTACAGCACATAGTAAAGTCATTTGAAGTAGGCATAATCCTGGTTTTATATGTTCAAAACACACACAATGCAGATTTCTTATAAACCTTTATTTCGAGCCTACAATGTCTTTGAAATTTTTATGCACACCTCAAAAAGAGAACAAACAAATTTCAAGTTTCTATTTACTCAGTCTAGTTTAGTGAGGTAAAATTGAGTCAAACATTAACATGACGACAGGTTCAAGAAATTGTCACCACTAATTTATGAGGTTAGCCTATCTGGAACAATCAACTTCATATACAAATTAGATTAGGTTTGTACTGATAATGCACAAAAGAACTATCTTTGGTAAAAGGGCAGGCTTTCCTTTCTTCATTTAAAGAAATACTCCTGCTATCATCTTCCACAAGCTTGGGGGAAAGTGACAGAATGAGACTGATAGTGACTATGTTATTTGAATAGATATCCAGAGGAGGATAAAAAGTAAGATGTGGTCTGCATAACTCTCTTAGTGTAAGTTTTTAACTTTGCATGTTGATGCCAATTAACTAACTTTCATGGATCAAAATACAAAAATGTTCTCTTCATTTATGTGCCCCAAACATTACAGGGGAGGAGGCAGGTCATAGCAAAAACATGAATTAATAAAGGATCAAGGATCCCCTATTAATTTCAGTCCTAATTAAAGGAGGATCCTCGCTTTTCCAGATCCCCACCCTTTAGAACTCACATATCTTGTGACCAATTCTTTATATCAATGTCGAGTTTGGGTATGAACATTGGTAAGAAACACATACATTAATGAAAGCTTGAGCAAGAGTATTTAATGCAATCTAAATAATAATATTGCATGTTACAATGTGGTAACTTACAAAGCAAAATTATATAATCACACAATTCCAAACAAAAGAAGTCAGGTTATTGACTCACCTGCTTCAACTTTTGAGGGCTTAAGGTACAAGGAAATAGATATGGTAAACAGTAACAATTATTACAAGGTTGAAAGTTTGAAAGCTAAAAGATAAACATTACAATCATCAGACCCTATGCATCTTGGCAAAAAAACGGCCAATTACCACCCTAACTTCTCCTAAACATTCATGCTTATAGGAAATCATTCATTTTGTCACTAGATGGTACTCTACTTACAATAGTTCTACTGACACAAATGCATTTTTCTAAAGTTATCTCATGGTGTATGACCGTACAGGTCATGTGGAAGGTTCCTGCACGGGAACTAACATTCCAATTACCTCAGCAAACTGTAATCATCAGAACTGCAAGCCAAGGTGTATCTACCAAGTGCTTAAGTTTCCAAATTAGTCGCCTAATTGTAACAGTGGAGTTCACTCCTTTTTGAGGCTATCTTCAGCTTGATCATCCTGTTACATATGAAAACATTTGCATATTCAAATAATTACCTGAATCAAAAGTTATAATTTATTTAATAACCAGCTACCTTTAATTGTGCTCCAGAAATGGTAAATGGTATTGAAAAGAAAGGAAGATTAAGTTCTTGAAACATTCTATGTTAAATGAAACTTTGTTATGAATGTTAATTGTGACAGCAACAAAAACATCTGTGAAGCTACAATAACAATAAGCTTTCTGGGTAAACAAACCATAATGAAGCATGATATGAATAAATTTAATCTCACCCAGTTTGAATGTAGAATCCAAAATCTAATTAACTTGCTGGTGAATAGGAAAAAGCTCAATGGGTTTTTCCTTCTTCTGTCATTCTAAATATCACAAATCGGTCATGCCACCACTTCAGTGTGATATTTTATGATGTGTACTTTTTCTTATGGTCATCTATTTTAGGATCTATCTTTTACCAGCTGACATCTGAGAAGAATCAAGTCCACACTGGTAATTTGACACATTACAAACTCTACAACTGATTAATTTTTATTTGATTAAAAACATGGGCATTAGAGGAAATTAGCTAGCACAATTCAAGCTTCCCTTCCTAAGTATTCTGTGATATTTTTATCTTATGGTAAAGTTTACAGTTTCCATCATTTCACTGTCTTCTGTTCAATCATTTGTTTGCTTTCCTAACAATCACAAATGTGAGGAGCATATGAAAAGTGTACAGTTAATAACACTTTAATCCCTGAGAGTGACTAACATCTAATTTCTCTTTTCAATATCACCCCTGAATCAAACATTAAGGTCATGAGAATAAAAGAAATGATAATCAACTGAAGAACCTCTTGATTGTTAAAAAAATTCTCCTTGCCAGCACATTAATTATAAAATGTATAGAGTACAGTATGGAGACTATGCACTGATGTTAGGGTGTAAAGGGTTTAAGACATCATGCGATCAGTTTTATCTATGAAGAGTATTGCTTGAATAAATGATTGTGGTAAGTGAAAGTGCATATTAAACATCATTCTATGGTCTTCTACTCTTCCACCTTAATTGGATGGTGCCATGTGTACAAAAAATTGAAGTTCAGTGCTTAACCCTTTAACTCCCATTAGATCTCTAGATTAATTCTCCTTACTGTCTGCCAAATGATTCTCATTATGTTAGTGTGGAGAATTTGGTATCAGATCAATTAGTAATCCCATAATTGATATATTCTTTCTTTATTTGCATCACTTGTCTGCATGATATTGTAAAGATATAGTAAGGGGAAATTCTGTCTTGGTCACTCACAGGAGTTGAAAGGTTAAGTAGCTTTTTTGGCTCCAAATATCAACAAAGAACAACAGTCACACCAAAAAATATTTTTAAAGACACCTCTACAATGGTGGGTACACACAACTGACATGTATGAGTGAAGCATGTGAAGCATTAAGGTATAATTGTCAATTTACTTTTCATTACTTGCCAACAACTTATTTCTATCAGCTTTGAAAATTTCTGTATCCCCATTTTTACAGAAAAGCATTTTCTATGAACATTTAAACACTGAAGATAAGCTACCAGCAACAGGTTTTTCCAATGTAAGTATTTCATAACATCAGATTCTCATCACATTTTTTTGTTACATTTGAAAGCATAAGAATATTTTAAGTGACTTAGACAGAATTTCTCCTCACACTATCAGTACAGTAAGAAGCAGGCAAGTAATGAGAATAAAGAAAAATATCAATAAGGGGATAACTGGTTGATCCAATTCCAAATTCTCAGAACTAACATCACATTAATTGTATGGCAGATAGTATGGAGAATTACTAATGAAATCTTGGGAGTTAAAGGGCTAAGACACTCAGTAATCATATGTACCAGAAAGACAGTGAAGAAATATAACATTATGCTCCAGTAAAGTGTTCTTATGTGGTATATAGTTTCAAACTCATTGAAATTAAGTTGACTTCATGATTCAGATTTTAGTTAAAGAAATATGTAACATCTCTTTACAAGGATGAAAAGGGAATGCCATTCCTGAATTTTAAAATAGTAAATGCCAAAAACTTAAAGCTGAATTTAAAAAAACTACTGAATTATGGCATATCAGTTCAGTGAAATTTTAATTATTAGCTGGCTCACAGAGATATAAAAGAGGCTTTGTGAAAAAAAAAACCAGGGCAATAAAATTAAAGATTCAGAAGAAGCATATAACATTAACTAATTTACTGATGTTCTCACCTGAATTCTGTACGGATACTGATATTCAGTATTTATCTTCTCACACTTGAATTAAAACAAAAAATTTAATTATTTGCAGGCAGGTTAAGGAGGAAATTAAGGGAATAGATATATGTTACACAAAAAGAAACTGCTACCATAAAATAGAGCAGAAGCATATTACTTACATATCTATGCTTCTGAATACAGCTATAATAAGAATTTTTTAAAGCAATTATCGACATTTAGAAACTGGGTGTAATATACTGTCGTAAAAGCGATTTTATTCTAACCTTCCTCCTTAAAGGCTGCCTTGTGTATCAAATATATCAAGTTCAGTACCTCCAGGGGTATAAGCCGGGCTTTTGGAGCTACAAAATAATAAAATAATTAATAAAGTATGCTATGCCAATTTATCGAGAGGCAATGAAGTATAGTTCCTTGAAATCGAATGGAAAGTTTAAAATGTGCTTGACTTGTGCTACATATACGTATTAATCGTTCTTAATTACTGATTAAATTCCTTGGGTTTGACTCAATCAATTCAAGAGAAAACATCTAGGCAGGTTAGAGAAATGGTTCACGAATTGTGGAAAATGTGTTAACAGAACTTCCCAAAATTATAGAGCCGATACGAATTTATCGTTCATTAGCACTTATGAAATTCCGAGATTGTACCTCAATGAATTCAGCAGAAAATATCCAGGAAGGTTACAGAAACGGACTCCTAAAAACTGCTCCTGAATTCGAAAAATGTAGCAATTATTTACGCCAACCATATGCATGTGCTTTTCACTCAAAACCCTCTCTCCACTCACTTGAATTATAACAATTTCCTTTGGTTGACAAAGCTCTGCCGGTATTGTTGCTCTGCGAGTTGATTAGAGATTGCAAAATACTAAGAATTACTGTTCAACTACAATCTCACTAGTTTGATTTCCTGCTCAAAACGCGGGTTGCAAATTATTTCCTTACGCGGCTTCACATCTACTAGCCCACGTGAAGCCCTCGTGTGGTGCCTAACCGTGTGTCCCCGGTGCACTAAACTAAAGTACTCGAATATGAGCACTTCATTGTCATCTGCTGGTGTCTCCTAGCGCACACTAATGGGGTATCCATGTTACGCACGCAATCGTGCCTGCGAATTACCTTCTCCTTCGCCCTTCCATTACGTAATGGCCAAGATAGTGCCCGCAGTACAGTTGGCGCGCATGCTAAAAGTAGCGCCTTGTACGGACGCCCGTACATTCGTAAGTCCAGACTTTATCGGCTTGATGGGTTACTACTATTTCGTATGATTATAGGGCTATGCTACATACGCAGGCTGCGAACTTCGCTATTATGAGGTGCTTTCATTAACGGGTTACTGTGTATTACTTGTAGATAGGAAAAGGAATAATATTTCGCGTCCTTCTCGGCATGTCTAAATTCCATTTGTACCCATTTTCTTCCGGAAAGTCCCATCTTTGATACTTAAAATCAAGAAAGAATTATGGAATGTTTCTATAGGTTTTAGGTAAAAAGGTTGCTCGAAGAATAAGTAAAAACCAGTTTCCAAGACAGACAGGGCTTTCTTACGAATAAGACGTTTTCATGTAATTTTCTCCCGCAACTGAGGTAACATACCAAGACATATCATAATGAAATCTCTGTTAGAGTTAAATGTTGTATTAATTTCCTGTTTTATGTCCTTTAGGTAAATGCTTACGAGGTTGTCAAAAACGGCGTGACTATCACAGTGTTCGACACTCCAGGACTTGCAGACGCAACCGGCAATGATGAAGAATATCTGCGGAAAATCAAGGAGAAAGTAACCCACTTCGACCTGTTTCTGTTCTGCATTGAGATGACCACTAAGCGATTCCGCACCGACGACTTGGAAACGATAAAGAAGCTTACAGAAGCCTTGGGGGAGAAACTTTGGGAACATGCTCTGGTGGTTTTAACCTTCGCCAACGAAGTCCCTCTATCTCCAACCAAGAAGACGGCTGACGTACCCGAAGTAACCGTTTTCAATGACCGCTTCTTAGCTTTCAAGAGAACGATAAAGAAACATTTGTTTGATATAGGAGTAGCTGAAATCACAGTGACTAATCTGCCATTTACGCCGGCCGGAGAGTTGGATGACCCAAGACTTCCAGATAGAGAAGACTGGTTGACAGCATTTTGGATCGCAGCTTTCAAACGTATCAACAGGAACGCAAAAGCTGCTTTCCTGATGGCAAATGTCGATCGTATTTTATTTTCCTCCACCATTGGCGAGGGAAACGAAGAAAGCAAAGTATCCATCGAAGAAAATAATGCAATTACAGAATTAAGAGCAAAATTGAAAGAGAACGCCTTTGACGAAGAGTTGAGCCGCTGTTTGAAGAAAACTGAGACGTCCGATGAACCTGAAGAAGATTGTCCCACATCACCTGGTCAAGGTGCGAAGGTGTCAGGCCCCTCCATCAAGGTGGACGAAACGTGCTCTGAAGGCCTTTTTTAAGGATATGTTTGGCGATGTAACAGGGAACCTCATCGGTGCGCTGACCGGTGCTAAGTTTGGTAGAAAGTACCAAACATTCTTCGGCTGGTTTACGAAGTATTTTAAGAAGTTTTTCCCAACTTCTCGACCCACTTTAGCTTTAAAGGATAGGCCAGAGAGCAAGAAGGAATGATCACCAAAAGAGTGAAAAGAGGTAAACCGTGTGCCATTGAGAATATCAACCACTTAGACTTTGAACATATAATCTATCAAAGAGAATGAACTTTGTATACTTAAAAGGTTCATGCCATATTTCTGAAAACAAATGCACTGTAGAAAAAAGGGTCGGATAGGTTGCATGTTATATGTAGGATCGTTAGAGGTCCAAGCGTTTTTTTGTTACAAGATAAGCCGAGTTTCAAGCATCTGCATATAAAGTTGCTGAGTAAAATGAAGCTATTTGATTCAGATTTAGAAGACCGATTCATTAAACTTTGGAAAATGTCATTTGTGATTTGTCTTTAATTAGTGTTATCAGTAACACCATCAAAAGGAAAGGACTATAGAGTTTTTGTCTCCGTGCCTGAATTTTAATGGGAAAGTGAAAGTATTCACCAGGTGTTTGTGAACTTTGATAGGAGAAAGCCTTGTCCGAGTACTTCGTTGTTTAATTTCCTCATTATGCAGTTCTGAAGAGCAAACAAGGCCCGATTGAATCTGTTTATTCTATGTGCCTACTTGTGCCTGTTTCCTATCAAGCTTCTATCTTCTATGAGACCGGCCATTATTTATCGCCTGGGGGGTGGGAGGACAGAAGGATTTTCGTTGTGTCATGATAGAATTTATCTGATCCCCCTTCAAAGGCTTTGTAGGGTTCTAATGAATCCACTCATTGATAGGCAATTTTCTATGGTCCCTTCTTTAAGGAAAGACTGATACCCCCTTTGTGTTCCTCATAAAATCCTCCCACTCTCCCCCTCTTATTTAAACTAGAGTCAAACCGCATCTTTAATGGTCGTATACCACCTGACCTTTTGAAACGTTTGACACAAACCCGCTGTATATCCACAATCGCGCAGGATTTCTCGTCTTTCATGATTGTGTATGATGACAGTCGTGTAGGATTTTTTTTTTCATATCTTTCATATGTCCACAATCGTGTAGGATTTCTCGTCTTTCATATCGGTCCTTAACCGCAATCACGTGGGATTTCTTGTCTTTCATGTTCACGATCGTGTAGGATTTTTTTTTTTTGATATCGTTTCCTTGATGTATGGTTTTAGCCGCCTATTAACCTGACGGCGGGGGCAATACAATGGAAGGCGGAAGTCGGGAGGCAGAGGAACACAAAATACAGGAGACGAGAGAACGTAGTACGTGAGTGGGAGGCTGTGACCAACTCTCAGTCCCTCCCCCGCTAGACACTAATTCTAAGCTGCATCAAATTTAATCAAGTATGCAATCAAGGTGTTTACGCATCTGTTGAACTGAAAGCTTGATGTATAGTTTTAGCTGCCTATTAAACCTGAAGGCGGGGGTAATACAATGGAGGGCGGGAGTCGGGAGGCAGAGGAACACAAAAGTACGGGAGTAGAACGTAGTACAAAAAGTGGGAGGCCGTGGCCAACTCCCAGTCTTTTCCCCCCTTCTCCTTTCTCCTTCCCCCCGCTAGACGCTAATTCTAAGCTGCAACGAATTCAACCATGCATGCAATTAAGGCGTCAACGCATCTGTTGAACTGAAAGCTTCAGTCACTTCGTGTTGGACACAGCATTTTCAAAACGGTAAATGATCGAATAACGTGATCATTTTCGTACAATCGGCGTCAAATCAGTGTAGAATCAGTAGTATTTTCGTATACCATTTCAAAGTCAGATAACAAAGCCCGAACGCCGACTGGCATGACAATCCTTTCCAAGTATCACTCAGTTTAACCACAACCAGTGTTTTATTGAAGAAAGAACCGAAGACTAGTTTTACAATACTGAAAGTACTACACACTGCAACTAGCAGGATATTTACCTCCACTCTTTTATATTCCGGCGGACGACGTTGAAGACTTATATTCGAATAACAGCGATTGAAACCACGGCATAAATGAAATCTTAGATAAATTACACATCCTTAGAAGTATAATCACGTACGAAAAGCTAATACAATCGGCAGAGGGCTCCGGTACGACTGGCAAGATAAAACAGCCCACGGAAGATTTCGTAGCAGACAACTGTGCAACTGTGTAGTCAACCCTCCAGGGTAAACCTATCACTTGATCCCTAACCGACGCGCTAATGATATACACAAAGCATGCCTATCAAGCTGTAAACTACATACAATTCGAGTATTTGATTGCATGCTTCACTTAAATGCAGTGAACACGCTCAACGGAAATGTTAATAGTGGATATGAATCTCTTTTGAAATGCCATACTTGGTACGATTTCCGAGAATAAGCGCATGTTGATCTTTCGTGGAATACTAATTTTGTTTCCACTGGCTTTGATTCTGCAATGACCTTGCACTATACTTATGTCGTAAAGCTACGGAAAACCCTCTTTGACAAAGGTAGGCCTTCTTATCAACGCGGGTTTAGTGAACGAAAATGTTTCAGTACTTGCTCAAATTTATAAACTGCTACTATGATAGTCGAGGCAGAAAGTACACGAAAATTCGATCAGTACTCACGCACCGTGAAATATAATCAAATTACTCTGAGATAATATTCATAGTCGAACTGAAGGGTAGAAGCTTTGAGTGACGTGAATCGTTCAATCTTTATATACGACGAATTACTTCGATCGGGTCTCCTGTTGTCACTTTTCGAGCTTCAGATTTTGCAGACCAAATTATTCAGTATGGCGAAATTATTCTCTTTGAGACACAAGGTCAAGCTGGCTTGAAGCCATGAATATCACATAAACAAATAGCAAAACAATAAAGCCATTTGATAAAGAAGACCGATTTATTAAACTTTGAACAATGTCATTCGTGATTTGTCTTTAATTTGTGTTATCAATAACAGCCATAACGCCATCAGAAGAAAATGATTATAGAGTTTTTGTTTCCGTACCTGAATGTTACGAGAAAAGATGGACAAGAGTATTTACCAAGCGTTTGTGAACTTTAATGGGAGGAAGCCTTCTCCGAGTCCTTTGTTGTTTAATCACCTCATTATACAGTTCTGAAGAGCAAACAAAGCCCGCTTGAATCTATATATTCTCTGTGCCTACTTGTGCCTGTTTCCCATCAAGCTTCTAGCTTCTAGAAAATTATTTATCGCTGGGGGACTGGGGGGAAGGGAGGATTTTGGTTGTGTCATAATAAAATTTTCCTGATTTTATCCCCCCTCCCCATAGGCTCTGTAGGGTTCTAATGAACCCCCTCGTCAACAGGCAATTGTCTATAGTCCCCTTCATAGTTTTCAAGGAAAGACTGATACCCCCTCCGTTCCCTCTTAAAAGTTTGTGTTCCTCCTAAAATCCTCCCACTCCTCCCCCCCCCTCCCTCCTCTTACTTCAACTGGAGTCAAACCATACCTTCCACGGTCTTTACATGTACTAAAAATAAGCAAAAAACAAACAAACAACAAGTTTAGCATGAGATAAAAGAGACATGTATTAAAGTTCGTTGTACTTTGGCTGCTCTAACAGTTCTTAGCATGATCTTTGACCGGAAGAATTACATACCTTTGGGTTGGGATGACCTTATAATAGAACTTGACGTATGAATTTGTCAAGTCTCCCGGGTGATTTTGTTATCACTGACTCACACTTATGGCACACGTGAGACATTGAATGCGTACAACGTGATATAATCAAGACATAAGTACAAGAAAGTGACTGCAAGTAGCGCTCACGAGAGCATTTAATGTTTTCAGTGTTCATTTTCTCTTAGCCTTTTGCCGGAATATTTGCTGTTATCCTTTGCCCCACAACAACTCTTATAGAAACTAAAGCCGATACGAAAAGCAAAGCCTTGTTGAGGCAAGATGGAATAGAAAATTACTTTTCCTTATAGACCATGATGATAGAATCGTCATTTTTGTATCCATCCCTACAATGACCATAGTACTATTAATTGTCTCCAAAACTTGCTGAAAAACTGTTTATCGAGTCAAAAAATACCATAGGACAAAAAGAAAGAAAATAGAAGATGCAGTGCAATGATTGTGCAAGCGTCAAATTCAATCACAACAGTTATGCCTTCCCAGACCTCTTTCCCGTTCTTCGCCTTCGAATTGTTTTGTCAACTGCTGACCGCGTTAACTGCGGAGCCTGTGTATTAGTTTCTCGTGTTACGAATTATAATGCACCGCTTCGCTAAGGTAACTCACACAGCCCTCTTCGAGACCGTCTGAGATACCAGTGGGGTTGTCAAACATCTTCACGAAAAAGACTTTGAGACTGAAACCCGCAAATACGAGAATAAACGAGAATTTGCATTATCTTTCAAGGTAAGTTACTTGAATTAATTTATTTGAGCAACTGATTTGCCGATCAACATCTAATAGAACAGTACATCACAAGCATTCAGCGTGGCTAAAGAAATTCTGCAAAGATAAGCTATGCAACGCGTCACGAGAGTCTCACAAGCAAATGCCGTCTGTCGTGTATTCTTTAGTGTCCCTCAATACATCGAAAAATTCGGTTTATATTTGTTCAGGTCTTCACTAGTTGTCGCCGTTTCGAATTAAACAACACTAGTTAAAATAGCAGCTTTATTAGAATACGATACGCGATCCACGCTTGAAGAAGTTCGAGCCGATTTTGCAGGCCAAAATGGAGTAATATATTGTTATCGATATCAGTAACACGAACTACTTTCGCTCGTCACCAAAAAAAAAATAATTTTTAACGGGGTTTGGACAGTTTTAAACTTATTCCGAGACATTTTTCGACGAATCTTTGTGAGATAATTTGTTGTAAGATGTTTGTTCTTTTTCCAAGAATCCTCGCGTCTTTTCTCGATACCAGCGTTGTTTAATAAACGACTGACTGATAAGTTTGTCAACAAAAGGCAAAAGATGACCAAAATATTGACCAAAACTCAGCTTCTTATGGTCACAAAAATAGCCTTTTGTATAATTTAAAAAAAAAACTAGGTCAAATAGCCTGTTCGTACAATTTAAAAGAAGAACTAAGAGTACTTTAAAAAGCGAAGTAAGATTCCAAGAACCTCGCGTCTCTTTCTCGATGACCGCGTTGTTTGATAACGACTGACAAAAATAAGGTTAATAACAATATCCCACAGATTATCAAAATAGTTAACAGTACTTGGCTTATTGGGTCACAGAAACTTTTTCTTGTTTGTACAATTTGATAGAAAATCCAAGAGCACTCTTAAAGCGAACTGAGCTTCCAAGAATGCTCGCTTCCCGGCTTCTCTCGAGAACAGCCTTACACGATTTCACAACTGATAGATATGGTTACCAGGCCAACAGATTACCAAAATACTGACTAACAGTCAACATCTCGAGTCAGAAAAATGGCCTATTTGAATAATTTGAAAGAAAAACCAAACGCATACTTAAAAAAAGTAAAACTAAATGGAGAACAAAAGCACTCTGAGTTTTGACGCCCGAATTTGATGAAAAACAAATATGTTTTAGATCGAAGAGAATAAAATACAGGTTTAAGGATTGAATGCCTGAACTGATCAATGCGTTAAAGTGTCAATACCACACCAAATCGGATAAGGTGAATTGAGTGCAAGCAAATTAAATTTAAGATTTATCTAATTTTTTCACGGCGGTGTAAATTTTCTTGCATTCTACTCTTCCGTTGGGTAGCACCTGACCGGTAGTCAGGCGACTGATCCCTAATGAAAATAAAACATCTGACTGTCAGAGTATCAGCAGCCGAATTTTGATTTCTCGTTGTTATCAACAACTAAGTACTTACATCTTCATAAATGTCTCCAAAGTGTTTGAACAAATCAACTCTTTAAAGGCTGTGACACGAATGACGCACGTGTGAGCAAAAATCACTTAATTATCCAATTGATGCCGGATGCTTTCCGAAAAGTATTTATGTCGGCGACATAATCTTTTGGCTAAGGGAAACAAACAGCGTATTATTACTTTGACGATGCTTACTAAATATTTCTTTCTACTTTTCTATCCATCATGGTCTAGTCAATCTACACATAGTTTATTTTCTTCTTCTTTACATTTATTTAGTAAATATCATTTTATTTCAGACTTTGTTATCAAGAATGGCACAGGAAGGGACCCCAGAGAAAAGTTCTGATGCCTCGGCAACTGAAGTTAGTCAGATTATATTTGGTGCAAAAAACTTGGAGTATCAGATCGAACAGTTTGTCAGTTCCGGTGGCCAGACTGTTAATATCCTCCTGAGTGGCAAGACAGGGGTTGGCAAGTCACATCTGACAAATGCGCTCATTGGAGAAAACCTTGCAGCAGAAGGATATGACATCGACCCACAAACTAATGACGTAAGCTACTTTGATATTGACAGTTACTTAACCTTTTAGACTATTATGAGGTGCTTTCATCAACGGGTTACTGTGCATTACTTGTATAAAGAAAATGGATAATATTTCGCGTCCTTTCGAGCAGCATGTCTAAACTCTATTTGTTCTCATTTTCTTCGGAAAATACCCATCTTTGATACTTGAAATCAAGAAAGAATTATCGAATGCCTCTACAGGTGTTAGGTTCAAAGTTACTCGAAAGGTAAGAAACAACTTCTTTCCAATGTCTCTTAGACAGAAAGGTCTTTCCTATGAATAAAACTTTTTCAAGCATTTATTTCCCGCAACTGAGGTAACATACCAAGACATATCATAACGAAATAACTGTTAGAGTTAAATGTTGTATTAATTTCCAGTTTTATGTCCTCCAGGTAACTGCTTACGAGGTTGTCAAAAACGGCGTAACTATCACAGTGTTTGACACTCCAGGACTTGCAGACGCAACCGGCAATGATGAAGAATATCTGCGGAAAATCAAGGAGAAAGTAACCCACTTCGACTTGTTTCTATTCTGCACTGAGATGACCAGTAAGCGATTCCGCACCGACGACTTGGAAACGATAAAGAAGCTTACAGAAGCCTTGGGGGAGAAACTTTGGGATCATGCTCTGGTGGTTTTAACCTTTGCTAACGAAGTCTCACTATCTCCAACCAAGAAGACGGCTGACGCACCTGAAGTAACCGTTTTCAATGACCGCTACTTAGCTTTCAAGAAAGCAATAAAGAAACATTTGGTTGCAATCGGGTACCTGAGATAACAGTGACTAATGTGCCATTTACGCCAGCCGGAGAGTTGGATGATCCAAGACTTCCAGATAGAGAAGACTGGTTGACAGCATTTTGGATCGCGGCTTTCAAACGTATCAACAGGAACGCAAAAGCTGCTTTCCTAATGGCAAATGTCGATCGTATTTTATTTTCCTCCACCCTTGGTGAGGGAAACGAAAGCAAAAGTAAGGAAAGATGCCAACGTTGTCAATCTTGGCCAGTCCAGTAATTTATCCATCGAAGAAAGTAATGCAATTAAAGAAATCAGAGCAAAATTGAAAGAGCTAAACTTTGACGAAGAGTTGAGCCGCTGTTTGGAGAAAACTGGGACGTCAGATGAACCAGAAGAGGAGTACGCCACATCACCTGGCCAAGTTGCAAAGGTGTCAGGCCCCTCTATAAATGTGGACGAAACGTACTCTGAAGACCTTATTAAGGAGATGTTGGGCAACGTAACAGGGAACTTCATCGGTGAGCTGACCGGTGCTAAGTTTGGTAGAAAGTACCAAACATTCTTCGGCTGGTTTATGAAGTATTTTAAGAAGTTTTTCCCAACTTCTCGACCCACTTTGGCTTTAAAGGATAGACCAGAAGGTATTAAGGAATAATCAGATGGGACCAACAGCGTGAAAAAGAGAGAAACTGTGTGCCTTTAAAATATCAACCAGTTAGACTATCGACATATAATCAGTTAACGAAAATGAACTCTGTATACTTAAAAAGGTTCATGTCACGTTTCTGAAATTAAATCAGTGTGCTGTAGTAAAAAGGTTCAGATAGATTGCATGTTATATGTAGGCTCGTTAGAGGTCCAAGCTTTTTTTTTTACAAGATAAGATGAGTTTGAAGCATCTACAGATAAAGTTGTTGAGTACAATGAAGTTATTTGATACAGAGAACCGATTGATTAAACTTTGGAAAATGTCATTTTATGATTTGTCTAGATAGATAGATAGATAGATAGATAGATAGATAGATAGATAATCTTTATTTACCCACGGACAATTCATCAGCCATAAAAACATTCAAATATATAAACATGCATAAAATGGATAGCATACTATAAAAACTATACTTAAAGCACAAATTTAGCTAAAGCTGCTTTCCACGAATGCTGCGCCTGAACGTCTTCCCTAATTAAACGCTTAAATAACCCGAGGGATTTTGCTTGTCTCATGTCACGAGGAAGTCTGTTCCAAAGAGTGGTGCCACTATAACGAAAGCTACTTTTGTAATAGTTTGTGCGCGGCAAAGGAACATTAAAAACTTATTCTCAGGGTCCCATAGGTTGTACGCAGTTTCTCGCCTTTCAAATTTAGAACATAAATAATCTGGAGCTAAACCATGCAGAGACTTATAGACCATTGTGGCTCTTTGTATTTGCTGCTGGGAAGCTAGGTTTTCCATCTCAAGAGCTTAAGCAAGTAACCAGCATCGGCGTCATAATTTGAATAAGTCAAAACATGTGCTGCTCCGTTTTGTAGTTTCTGTACCTTCCCAAACAATATTACAATAGTCAAAATGTGGCTGAATCAGAGCTTGATATATTAGCAGCAAAGTCGCTTGAGAGACAAAGGTGCCTTATTCGTTTTATAGCCCCAATGCCAGAAGCGACTTTCTTTGTTGTTTTATCGATGTGACTGCTCCAATCGAGCTTGTTATCGATGGTCACTCCAAATGATTTTGCGGTGGTGACCTGGCTAACTTGATTGTCATAAATTGTGATCGTCGGAGAAACTGCGAGAGTACTTAATCTCTGCCTTGAACCGATGAGCATAAAAAAGCATACTCCTCCCCCAGCGTCTGTAGTTCTGTAATGTCGAACTAAATCGTAGCCTAAGATGTTAACCTCGTTGTCGCTAATAGTTTCATTCAACTTGGTTTCATAAATCGATAAGGTATCTATTGCGTAATATGCTACAAAAATTCTAAGTTCATCGATGTGAGTAGTTAATTTACTAATGTTCAAGGAGGCTAATTTAAAACCGCGTTGAGATGGCAATAATGAGGCAGCCTCTTTACTGCCTTGATTTAATATACGAGATTCCTCAGTATTGCTTTTTGTGCGTCGGGCAGTGATGACAGGTGGGCAGCGTGTTGTTTCAATCTAAGCATGTTTGAAAGTTCTTAAAAAATTTTTTGATTACCTTTAAAATTGAGATATAGACCGCCCCTGTTTAGTTCCGTTTCTATGATATTTTGATGCTACCGATTAAATTTCCATCCGTTCTGCCGGCAGTATAGCTCTTCAGATATTTTTTCGTTGTTTTTACCGCCCCGTTGAGTTGGTTTCATCCGGAAACAAGCTCAGAAAGTGCAACTGTGGCTTCAGATGAGTTCACAATTTGTCTGGCGAGATCTATAATCGAGTTAGCAACGTGTCGCGGCTCTCTTTGTTCAAGGTCATTGGCGCCGACATGAAGGCTGACTTGGTCTTGTGAAAACTCAGATTGGGTTTAAGGTAGTCTTTCATAGCTTTTGTAGTTGCACCAGAGAACGGTTGTACAACTACTCAATGGCCAACGGCCTCTCCTAACTTTGTACCTTGGATATTTTTTATCATAGGGTGTCCAATTAACAGAGTTGTGCTACCTTTCTCTGGCACAGAATCTTCCGAGAGAGTTGGAGTTGGACTGTACCTCATCGTTTCCCTGTTTCTGTGTTTTACTCTTCTTGGTTTTCTTTCTCTTGCTAACAATTTGCCATTCGTTCTGATCAGTACGCTCATTAGGCCGGGTGTTATCACAAGAAGTTACTCCTCCATGTCACATAACAAATATTCTACAAAGGTAGAAGTCTTTTTAGCCTTAAATTTGTGTTATTAGTAAAACCATCAAAAGAAAAAGGTTATAGAGTTCTTGTTTCCGTGCCTGAATTTTACCGGAAAAGGTGGACAAAAGTATTTACCGGACGTTTGTGAACTTTGATAGGAGAAGCCTTGTCCGAGTCCTTCGTTGTTTAATTACCTCATTATACGGTACTGAAGAGTAAACAAAGCCCGCCTGAATCTATATATCCTCTGTGCCTACTTGTACCTGTTTCCTACCAAGCTTCTATGAAACCGGCCATTATTGATCGTCAGGGGAGGTGGGGGACGGGAGGGATTTGGTTGTGTCATAATAAACTTTACCTGATTCCTCACCCCCTAAGGTTCTGTAGGGTTCTAATGAAACCCCTTGCATTGACAGGCGATTGTCTATAGTCCCCCCCCTTTATAGTTTTCAAGGAGAGAATAATACCTCCTCCACTCCCTCTGAAAACTTTGTGTTTCCCATAAATCCTCCCATCTTCCCCCCTCTTGTTCCAACCAGAGTGAAACTGTACCTTTCATCTTCTTATACCACCTAACCTTTTTAAGGCATAGTTTTAGCTGCCTAACTCTCTCCACTCTAACACCTCTTAATAAAATTCCATGGTTCGTCCTTAGCCACCCAACCTGGAATTATAAATTGTCTTTGCTCTCTCCGGGACCTTTGCATTTCTCAGATTACTTTATGAATCACACGATACAAAAGGTCTGTGTTGACACGGCAAAGTTAAGTCACACTTCGCTCTTTATCGTGAACATTGATTGCCTCCCGGGTAAATAACAAAAATCGCTCCTTTTGGTGGAAACGTTTGACTAGTTCAACGCTGCAAACTGTTGCACAAGCGGAATGCTTGATGTAGCTATTTTGAAAAAGGCAGCATCACTTCAATTCAATGCTTATCCATTTTCCCTCAGCTATAATTTATTATTTTGACTTGTAAGTTGTCACGGTACGGAAGGGTCAACCTTTGCCGGAAATGTCTCCCAAAGAATTTCGCGCGACTGTCTGATCGCTACTTGATCAACGTTCAATTATGTTCAATAGGACTGATTCTCACGGAAAGAGGAACAACACAAAAAGCTCATTATTAACGTAGATACAATCAAGAAAAACTTATATAAGAGATGACCGCGGGCATGTTTCATTTCGTTTTTAACAAAGTTTCGTTTACACAATGAACGATTATGTTTTAGGCCTTATGTAAATCTTCGTAACGTGACCTGTTTTGTAAACACATTATTCAGCCCATTTCAGAAAGTTGCTTTCTTAGTTAAGAAAGACTGGCCTGAGTCATGCAGATCTTCAGGCTCATATCTTTTGGGTAGAAATAGAAGGGAGGAGTATGCTTCGGACTTCAGTCACGCTCCAATCTATGAAGTTTTCTATGGTTTTTAGCGTCCACTGTAGAATTTTCCCCTGCCTGGCTTCCGAGTCTGAAACTTTCCTTTCCTTTCCTTATCCTGAATTATTACAGTCAGTGTTTTTTAAAAGAATCTGCAGCATTTTTTAAAAAAAATCTGAGCTGTTTCTGTACCAATGAAAATTATAGTGTACGGTAAACGCTCTATAAGGATGATTCAAAAATAAAATTTAACTGTAACAAAAGATCATCAATTTCACTTTTTTCTCACATCAATGAATATAATACATTTGTTTTAACATAGTTTATATTGAGATGACGGATAATGAAAATAAGATCAAGAACTTTTGCTAGAAAGGAAGGACAGCAGAAGTTATTCAATACGAGAAGTCTCAAGTATCAACTGGATCAACTAATGATGTTTTGCCGTGGCAAGGCTATCAAAATTCTTTTAATCGGTGAAACAGGAGTTGGGAGATCTCACTTGACGAATGCTCTGATCGGCTAACAGCATGCTGTGGAGGGAAAAGATGTTGATCCAAAAACCGCTGAGGCAGGTTTTACAGAATTAATAACTTATAGAAAGCTTTAGTTGAATTTTGATCACTTATAAACGTGATACTGGACGGAATGAAAAATTGAAAATTAATCTAAGGATTCGGACAAGAAACTTGAGCCATATGAAGTAGGAGTCAAATGCCCCGCAACATTCTTCAAAATGATATTGCAAGGTAGGAGCATGAAGCGAGATTACCCATGCTGCAAGCGTGAGGAAAAATACTCAGGTAACGTGACAAGAATTTAGTTCAAGCTAAAATCGGTTCCAGGTTGGTTCCAATGGTTTTACATGGTTTTTGCATCACCAAGCGAGAAGGTGGAAGTTGTATCTGATAAAGAGGTGTTTAATGAACAGTTTCGAAGTCTGAAGAAGACATTTCGGCAAGCCCTGACCACAACTGTGGAATGCCTGAAGAGGATGTCATTGAGGGGAATCCCTCAAGACAGTATTTTGGGTGACGGCGTTCAAACGCATCAGCAGAGTAGCAAAGGCTGCTTTTCTCCTATCAAATGCTGATTGACTTTAATTTTCTCATAGCTCGAATTTTCGACGAAGAGAAACCCGAAAGCGCTGCCATTAGCATACGTTCCACTACGTGATTGTGGAAAATTTTGTGGATGTCCCGCCCAAACATGGAGAAGCTAAAAGACTGCCTGAAATACTACCTGAAGGTAAAAAGGCTGAAAATAGTGTTTCTCATTCCATATGCTTGGACCAAACTTCTCCTCGAAGAATCGTTTGAGAAATTGTAGGGGATGCGACCGACAGTCATGATGGCACCAAAGCGATCAATCGCTATCATCAAACGTTCCTTCCTTAGATTATTAAATATCTGAAGACATTTTTCGAAAGAAGCACTAAGAGGAAGAAACTAGGAGCCAAGGGTCTTTACAGTAAACTACTTGTTCGAAACACCCAAACCCGCACAGATCATTAGAACGGCGTGTCATATTAGTACAAATATTTAGGCAAAATTCAAAGATCGCATATGCTCGTCATTAGTTTCTATATTTTATCAAACACAAGATAAACTTTATAACAACACTGGGAGAGTTAGAATGATTTAGGGCTTGATTTTGATGGTTTCCATTGGATCCCCATGAATCATTAATACTAAATAAGCAAGCATTTGATCTGTTCTGATATAGTGAAATTTCCCTGTATAAAGACAAACAAATGGTGCAGATGGCCACACCGCCAAAAATAGCCCTTTTATCAATTTGATTTAAAAAATGTTCCAATGTGAAAAAGAGCAAATTTGACTTTTTTAACTGAACGAAGCCATAGAAACAGATAGATCACTGAGGGGGCAGAGGAGTGAACTGTTAGAAATTGAAACAGTGAATAACATTGAACGAAACAATTACAACAGCACAATCACAGCAGTATTTCCATGTTAAATTTGGTAAGTTGGCGACTATTTATATCATTGTTGATATAGGGTTATTTATTATATCCATCCTACAATGACCATGGTACTATTAATTGTCTTCAAAACTTGCAAGGAAACTGTTTATTGAGTCACAAAATACCAAATAACAACGGAAGAAACACAATAGAAGATGCAGTGTAATGACCGTGTAAGCGTCAAAATCAATCATAATAGTTACGCTTCCCCAGACCTCTTCCCCGTTCTTCGTCTTCGACTTGTTTTGTTAACTGCTGGCCGCGTTAATTGTGGAGACTGTGCTTTAGTTTCTCGTGTTACGCGCTATAATGCACTACATCGCAAAGGTAACTTACACTGCCCTCTTCGAGACCGTCTGAGATACCGGTGTGGTTGTTAAACATCTTCACAAAAGACTCTGAGATTGAAACCCGGAAGTACAAGAATAAACGAGCATTTGCCTTGCCTTTGAAGGTAGGTTGTATGAATTTATTTATGCGACTGATTTGCATTGATGGATATCTAACAGTACATCACAGACATTCAGCGTTGCTAAAGAAATTCTGCAAAGATATGCCATGCAATGCGTAACGAGAGTCTTATAAGCACATGCCGTCTGTCGCGTATTCTTTTGTATCTTTCGATAAATCGACAAAATTCGGTTTACATTTCTTCAGGTATGCACAAGTTGTCGCCATTACGAATTAAACAACACTGGTTGAAATAGCATCTTTAACATCTTACGATACGTGATCCACGTCACATGGAGAAGTTCGAGCCGATTTGGAGAACCAAAATGGAGTAAAATATAGATAGCATAAATTACTTTCGCTTGTCATCAAGAAGAAATAGTTTTTAACGGGGTTAGGACAGTTTTACACTTATTCCGAAACATTTCTTCAACGAATCTTTGTTCGATGATTTGTTGTAAGATGTTTGTTTTTTTATCAAGAATCCTCGCGTGCTTTTCTCGATACCAGCGTCGTTTAATCAAAGACTGACAGATGAGGTTACCAACAAAGGCAACAGATGACTAAAATATTGACCAAAACTCAGCGTCTCATAGTCACAAAAATAGCTTGTTTATATAATTTAAAAGAAAAAGTAAGAGTACTCTGAAAGCGAAGTAAGGTTCCAAGAACCTCGCGTCCTTTTCTCGATAACCGCGTTGTTTGATAAAGACTGACAAAAATAAGGTTAATAACAAAAGCTCACAGATTACCAAAATATTGAACAGTACTTGGCTTATAGGGTCACAGAAACCTTAGCTTGTTTGTACAATTTGATAGAAAATCCAAGAGCACTCTTAAAGCGAACCTAGGTTCTAAGAATCCTCGCGTCCTTTTCTCGAGAAAAGCTTTATAAGATTACACGACTGATAGATAAGGTTACTAGGCCAACGGATTATCAAAATATCGACTAACATTCAACATCTTAAGGTCACAAATGTAGCATGTTTGAATAATTTATATGTATAAATAAGCGCACTCTCAATGTAAACTAAATAGAGAAAAAAAACGCAGAGCAGTCAAATTATTGACCACCGAATTTGATCAATATTAAATACTTTTTAGATTGAAGAGGATGAAATACAGGTTGAAGGTTTGAATGTTTGAAGTTATCAATGTATCAAAGTGTCAATACCACAGCAAATCGGATGAGGTGAAATTAGCGCAAGCAAAGTTAAGATTTATCTAAATTTTTCACTGCCGAGAAAATTTTCTTGCATTCTACTCTTCTGTCGTGTAGCACATGACCAGTTGTCAGGCGACTGATCCCAAATGGAAATAAATGACTCAAAACTGTTTAAACAAATCAACTCTTTAAAGGCTGTGATACGAATGACGCACTTGTAAGCGAAAATCACTTAATGATCCAATTGATACCAGATGCTGTCCGAAAAGTATTTATGTTGACGTCATAATCTCATGGCTGAAGAAAACAAACAGCGTATTATTATTTTGACAATGCTTACTAAATTTTTCATTCTACTTTTCTATCCATCTTGGTTCGGTCAATTTACACATGGTTTATTTTCCTCCTCTTTACATTAATAAAAATTAATTTATTTCATTTATTATCAAGAATGGCACAGGAAGGACCCCAGATAAAAGTTCCGATGCCTCCGCAACTGAAGTTAGTCAGATTATATTTGGTGAAAACAACTTGAAATATCAGATCGAACAGTTTCTTAGCTCAGGTGGCCAGACTGTTAATATTCTACTGAGTGGCAAGACAGGAGTTGGCAAGTCACATTTGACAAATGCGCTCATTGGAGAAAACCTTGCGGTAGAAGGATATGACATCGACCCACAAACTGATGACGTAAGCTACTTTGATATCGACAGTTAATTCACCTTTTAAACAATTATGAGGTGCTTTCATTAACGGGTTACTGTGTATTACTTGAAGATGGGAAAAATAATGACATTTTGTATCCTTTTCAGCAGTATGTCTAAACTCCCTCTGTTCTTTAATACTTGAAATCAAGAAAGAATTATGGAATGCTTTTACAGGTATTAGGTAAAAAGTTACTTGAGGGATAAGAAAAACCACTTTCCAAGGTCTCATTTAGAAACAGGGCGCACTTATGAATAAAAAGTTTTCATGCATTTCTCTCGTGTAACTGAGGTAACATACCAAGTCATATCATAAGTAAATCACTGTTAGAGTTAAATGGCCTAATTATTTCCTGTTTTATGTCCCTTAGGTAACTGCTTACGAGGTTGTCAGAAACGGCGTAACTATCACAGTGTTTGACACTCCAGGACTTGCAGACGCAACCGGCAATGATGAAAATATCTGCGGAAAATCAAGGAGAAAGTAACTCACTTGGACTTGTTTCTCTTCTGCACTGAGATGACCAGTAAGCGATTCCGCACCGACGACTTGGAAACGATGAGGAAGCTTACAGAAGCCTTGGGGGAGAAACTTTGGGATCATGCTCTTGTGGTTTTAACCTTTGCAAACGAAGTTCCATTATCGCCAACCAAGAAGACGGGTGACGTACCTGAAGTAACCGTTTTCAATGATCGCTTTTTACGTTTCAAGAAAGCGATAAACAAACATTTAGTTGCCATAGGAGTACCTGAGATAACTGTGATTAATGTGCCATTTACGCCAGCCGGAGAGTTGGATGATCCAAGACTTCCAGATAGAGAAGATTGGTTGACAGCATTTTGGATCGCAGCTTTCAAACGTGTCAACAGGAACGCAAAAGCTGCTTTCCTAATGGCAAATATTGATCGCATTTCACTTTCCTCCACCTCTGGTGAAGGAAACGAAGAAAGCAAAGTAAGGAAAGATGGCAACGTTTGTCAATCTTTAACCATCGAAGAAAGGAATGCAATTAAAGAATCAGGAGGAAAATTGAAAGAAAGCGACTTTGACAAAATTGAGCCGCTGTTTTGAGAAATTGGAGATGAAAACTAAAGAGGAGTGCCCCACATCCCCTGGCCAAGATGCAGAGGTGTCAGGCCCCTCTATCAATGCGAACGAAACTTTCTCTGAAGAGATCATTAAGGAGATAATAAGCGGGAAATTCATGGCTGAGCTGACCAGTGCTAGGAAAACTGAGACTTCGGATGGACCCGAAGAGGAGCGCCCCACATCACCTGGCCAAGTCGCAAAGGTGTCAGGTCCGTTCATCAATAGGAATGAAACGTACCCTAAAGACGTCAAGAAGGAGATGTTGGCCGATGCAACAGGGCAATGCATCGTTCAGCTGACCAGTGCTAAGAAGAAAACTGAGACGTCGGATGAACCTGAAGACGAGTGCCCCACATCACCTGGCCAAGATGCAACGGTGTCAGCCCCCTTCATCAATAGGAACGAAAAGTGCTCTAAAGACATCAAGAAGGAGATGTTGGCCGATGTAGAAGGAAATTCATCGGTGAGCTGACCAGTGCTAAGGAAAAACTGAGACGTCAGATGAACCTGAAGACGAGTGCCCCACATCACCTGGCCAAGTTGCAAAGGTGTCAGGCCCTTCATCAATAGAAACGAAACGTGCTCTAAAGACATCAAGAAGGAGATGTTGGCCGATGCAACAGGGAAATTCATCGGTGAGCTAACCACTGCTAAATTTGGTGGAAAGTACCAAATATTCCTCGGCTTCGTTATGAAGTATATTAGGAAGTTTTTCCCAACTTCAGCTTCAAAGTCTAGACCAGAAGGCATGAAAAAATGATCACGTGGTGACCAAACAGAGAGAAAGAGAGAAACTGTATGCCTTTAAAAATATCAACCAGTTAGACTATGAACATATAATCTATAAATCAAATTGGACTCTGTATGCTTAAAAGGTTCATGCCATGTTTCTGAAATCAAACGTGCTATAGAAAAATGGTTCAAATAGGCAACATATAATATGTGGGCTCGTTAGAGGTCCAAGCGATTTTTTGTCACAAGATAAGACTAGTTAAAGTTGCTAAGTACAATGAAGTTATTTGATACAGAGGACCGATTTATAAAACTTTGAAAAATGTCTTTTGTAATTTTTTTTTAAATTCATGTTATTAGTAACACCATCGGGAGAAAATGATTAAAACGGGAAAAGATGGACAACAGTATTTATCAGGCGTTTGTGAACTTTGATAGGAGAAAGCCTTCTTCGACTCCATCGTTGTTTAATTTCCTCATCACACAGTTCTGAAGAGCAAACAAGGCCCGCTTGAATCTATATATCCTCTGTGCCTACTTGTGCCTGTTTCGTATCAAGCTTTTAGCTTTTATAAGACCGACCATTATTTATCACCTGAGGGGGATGGGGTTGTGTCATAATAAAATCTACCTGATTTCCCCCTTCCTCAAAGGCTCTGTAGGGTTCTAATGAACCCCCTCATTGACAGGCAATTGTCTATAGTCCGCTTTTTATAGTTTTCGAGGAAAGACTGATACTCCTCCGTTCTCTCTGAAAACTTTGTGTTCCCCTAAAATCCTCAATCGTGTAGGATTTCTTAATTGTCTTTCGTATCGGTGTATATCCACAATCGTGAAGGACTTCTTGTCTTTAAAACCGTTTCCTTGATGTTTTTTTAGCTGTGTAACTCTCTCCGCTTTAACACTTCTTCAGAAAATTAAATGATTTGGCTCTGGCCTCCCAACCTGGAATTATAAAATTTTTTAAGGGACAGATTCTTTTTTCTGGAGGGGGATATGAGAAATTTTCTTCTGTAAAAAATTTTTCCGACATCATCTTCGTGCAAACAATTTTTTTCCCTTTTTCAGTGTTTTTTATTTGTGCTAAATATTACCATTGCCTTATTGAAATATTTTACGAATAACGTAATCACTAGTGCTATAGCTACTTATTTTGTCGATATACGCTCCACCCACCTTTTAAAATTTTTTGCAGCTACTGACGCAACTAAAGGGCATACGACAGGGAATAGGCAAAGGGTGTGGCGGCCTTTTTTGCGATTCCACAGTAACGAACTCCTGATCCTCTTTGATGATGTTCCTATGGGCCATCATACTCGTACCATCCGGCCTGTGGTACTAAGGGCGAAGGCAGGCACATTGCTGATTTGAAATGATTGTTGTGGCCATAGGTCACTCCAAATACTTTATAAGTTGTAAGTGATCTGTTAGCTTTGATGGTGATATCATTGGTGTCTGTATGTCAAGAACTACAGCTGCTTGAACCATTTTGTTTATCATTTTTTAGATTTTATTCGCTTATGTCGTTCATGTAACTCATTGACTTCTGAAATATGTATTAAGTAGCAATGATAAATATAGCCAAGATTGAAGACTATTATTTGTTTAATTAATACAGTTTTGAGAAAAAGCACCTGATATATGAAGTTTTGTAGTAGGACAAAATGTGGACAAGTAACGTTGAGATTTAATTGCCACGATAAATTCCCATTTTTTTTTAAAGGAAAATTAAGCCATTTTCAGATTTGTTATTTGCTTAATACAGAGTGACCCCTTTTAGTGCCCAAATTGTGTTAATTCTTATATTAATGCTTTAATTGGTTACTCTTTTTAATTTCAGTTTTGGTAATAATATTTTTTAATATCTTACCTGAAAAAAAAAGTAGAAAAAAAGTAAACAACTTACTTTGTCTTTTCAGACCCTGCAAACAGTTTTTTTTAATACTTTTCATACCCCCTCCAGGACTCTCGCATTTCTCAGATTACTTTATAAATCACATGATACAAAAAGTTCTGTGTTGACACCACAAAGTTACATCACATTTCCTTTGCTTGTGTGCGCAGTAGAACCAGCTGTTCTCCACAGTCTCTTTTAGATAAATTCCTAACAGTCAGGCCTTGAAGGTTAGGGCACATGCATTTAATTTCTTCTGTTTTAATCCAAAGGTTCTGTAGGGTTCTAATGAATCCCACTCATTGACAGGAAATTGTCTATGGTCCCCCTTTATAGTTTTAAAGGAAAAGAATGATACCTCTCTGTTCCCTCTGTGTTCCCACCCCCCCTTCTTATTCCAACTAGAGTCAAACTGCACCTTTCATTTTCTTATACCATCTAACCTTTTGAAACGATCGACACAAATCCGCTGTACATCCACAATCGTGTAGGATTTCTTGTCGTTCATATCGCTAATACATACACAATCATGTAGGATTTCTTGTCTTTCATATCGGTGTACATCCACAATCGTGTTGGATTTCTTGTCTTTCATATCGTTTCAATTGATGTATGGTTTTAGCTGCCCAAATCTCTCCACTTTTACACCTCTTAATATAATATAACTGTTCGTCTCTAGCCACCCAAAGTGGAGCCATAAATACTTTTGACTCGCTCTGGGAATTTCGATTTTCTCAGATCACTGAATGAATCACATTATACAACAAGGTCTGTGTTGACACTGCAAAGTTACACCACACTTACTTTTTGGAGTACGCAGTAGAACCAACTGTTCTTCGTAGTCCCCTTTAGAAAAAATCCTAACAATCGGTCCACAAGGTCAGTTCACAGAACTGGAAACGCTTGACTAGTTCAACGCTTCAAACTGTTGCACAAGCGGAATGCTTCATTTCGCTATTTGGAGAAAGCCAGCATCACTTCAGTTCATTTCTTATACATTTGTCCTCAGCTATAATTTTATCATTTTGACTTGTAAATTGTCACGGTATGGTGGGGTCAACCTTTGCCGGAAATGTCTCCCGAAGAATTTCGCGCGACTACCTTTTACCTTTCTTTCGCATCCTGTCTGATCGCTGCTTAATCAACGTTCAGTTACGTTTAATAAGACTGATTTTCGCGGGAAGAGGAATAACTCAAAAAGCTCATTAAAAGCGTAGATGATATGAGAGATGACTGCGGGCATGTTTACTTTCGTTTTAACAATGCTTCGTTTCAGTTACAGTAATGTGACCTGCTTTGTAAAAAAAATTATTCAGCCCATTTCAGAAAGTTGCTTTCTTAGATAAGAAAGACTGACCTGAATCATGCAGATCTTCATACTCATATCTTTTACGTAGAAGCAGAAGTGAAATAGGGAATGATTTGCAAGGGAGGAATATGCTTCGGCCTTCAGTCACGCTCCAATCTATGAAGTTATCTATAGTTTTTTATCACACTATAGGATTTTTCCTTCTGGCCTCCAAGTCTGGAACTTTCTAGCTCTGCTTAATTATCCTGATTTCCTTCGGCCACTTTTTTTTGTAAAAATCTGACCTATTTCTGTACCAATGAAAATTTAATTGGAGTGTATATGCTCTATGAGGATGATTCAAATATAAATTTAACTGTAACAAAAGATCACCAATTTCACTTTTCTCTCAAATCAATGAATATCATACATTTGTTTTGACATAGTTTATGTTGAAATGGCGGAGAAGGGAGCCCTGAGAAGAAGATCAAGATCTTTTGCTGGAGAGGAAGAACAGCAGAAGTTACTCAGTACGAGAAGTCTCATGTATCAACTGGATCAACTGATGATGTTTTGCCGTGGCAAGGCTATCAAAATATTTTTAATCGGTGGAACAGGAGTTGGGAAATCTCACTTGACGAATGCTCTAATCAGTGAACGGCTTGCTGCGGAGGGAAGAGATTTTTATTAAATTATTAAAGAATAGAAAGCTTTAGTTACATTTTGATCATGCACTTATAAACGTGATATTGGAATAAAAAATTGAAAATTGATTTAAGGATTCGTACATGAAAATTGAGCTATACGAAGTGGGAATCAATTGCCCTCGTAACATTCTTCATAATGATATTGCAAGGTAGGAGCAGAGGGCATGAAGTGCAGCAAGCGTGAGGAAAAATACCCAAGTAACGTGACAATAATTTAGTTCAAGCTAAAATCGGTTCCAGGTTAGTTCCAACGGTCTTGAGAGTTCAAGACTTTCTGTTGGCGAGATATTCACGAGAAGGATCTTCCTTCAGCCTCAGGTACAAACCCTGGTACTAATATGAACAATTTGTCTTAAAGAGTTTGTTTCCATAATATCTCGATCATTATATTATTATTAGTATATCCTTGAAGACTATGCAGCTTAAGTCCTATGATTTATAATTTTAGGTGAGAGCTTATGAATTTTTAAAGAACAACGTGAAGATTACGGTGTTTGACATTCCAGGACTGGCAGATACGAAAGGCAGTGACGAAGAATGTATAAGAAAGATCACAGAGAAAAATTTTGTTCTGTACTGAGATGAGTGGTACAAGATTTCGTAAAGACGACTTATAGAAACAATGGAGAAGCTGTCGATTTGTGGATGCCACAAATTCAAAGAAATTACTCGTCATTAGTTTCCATCTCTTACCAAACTCACGGATGAACTTTATAAAGACATAGGGAGAGTTAGAATGATTTAGGGCTTGATTATAATGGTTTCCATTTGTTTCGTATGAATCATTAATACTTTATAACCAAGCAAACGATCTGTTCTGATATAGTGAAATTTCCTTGTATAAAGACAAACAAATGGTGCGGATGGTCATATTGCTACAAATAGCTCTTTTATCAATTTGATGCAAATAATGTTCCAATGTGAAAAAGAGCAAATTTGACTTAGAAATAGACAGATCACTGAGGGGGCAGAGGAGTGAACTGTTAGAAATTGAAACAGTGGATAAGATTGAACGAAACAATTACAGCAGCACAATCACAGCAGTATTTCTATGTTAAATTTAGTAAGTTGGCGACTATGTATATCATTGTTGATATGGGGTTATTTATTACATGCATCCCTACAATGACCATAGTGCTATTAATTATCTTCAAAACTTTCTAGGAAACTGTTTATTGAGTCACAAAATACCAAATAACAACGGAAGAAACGCAATAGAAGATGAAGTGTAATGACCGTGTAAGCGTCAAACTCAGTCACAACAGTTACGCTTCCCAGACCTCTTCCCCGTTCTTCGCCTTCGACTTGTTTTGTTAACGTGCTATAATGCACTAGATCACTAAGGTAACTTACACTGCCCTCTTCGAGACCGTCTGAGATACCGGTGTGGTTGTTAGACATCTTCACGAAAGACTTTGAGATTGAAACCCGGAAGTACAAGAATAAACGAGCATTTGCCTTGCCTTTGAAGGTAGGCTGTATGAATTTATTTATGCGACTGATTTGCATTGATGGATATCTAACAGTACATCACAGACATTCAGCGTTGCTAAAGAAATTCTGCAAAAGATATGCCATGCAACGTGTAACGAGAGTCTTACAAGCACATGCCGTCTGTCGCGTATTCTTTTGTATCTTTCGATACGGTTTGCATTTGTTCAGGTATGCACTAGTTGTCGCCGTTACGAATTAAACAACACTGGTTGAAATAGCATCTTTAACATCTTACGATACGTGATCCACGTTTGGAGAAGTTCGAGCCGATTTTGCGGGCCAAAATGGAGTAAAATATAGATAGCGCAAATTACTTTCGCTTGTCATCAAGAAGAAATAGTCTTTAACGGGTTTTGGACAGTTTTAAACTTATTCCGAAACATTTTTTCAACGAATCTTTGTTCGATAATTTGTTGTAAGATGTTTGTTTTTTTATCAAGAATCCTCGCGTGCTTTTCTCGCTACCAGCGTCGTTTAATCAAAGACTGACAGATGAGGTTACCAACAAAGGCAACAGATGACTAAAATATTGACCAAAACTCAGCGTCTCATAGTCACAAAGATAGCATGTTTGTATAATGTAAAAGAAAAAGTAAGAGTACTCTGAAAGCGAAGTAAGGTTCCAAGAACCTCGCGTCCTTTTCTCGATAACCGCGTTGTTTGATAACGATTGACAAAAATAAGATTAATAACAAAAGCTCACAGATTACCAAAATATTGAACAGTACTTGGCTTATAGGGTCACAGAAACCTTAGCTTGTCTGTACAATTTGATAGAAAATCCAAGAGCACTCTTAAAGCGAACTGAGTTTCTAAGAATCCTCGCGTCCTTTTCTCAAGAAAAGCTTTATAAGATTACACGACTGATAGATAAGGTTACGAGGTCAACGGATTATCAAAACATCGACTAACATTCAATACCTTAAGGTCACAAATATAGCTTGTTTGTATAATTTATATGTATAAATAAGCGCACTCTCAATGTAAACTAAATAGAGAAAAAAACGCAGAACACTCAAATTATTGACCACCGAATTTGATCAATATTAAATACTTTTTAGATTGAAGAGGATGAAATACAGGTTGAAGGTTTGAATGCTTGAAGTGATCAATGTATCAAAGTGTCAATACCACAGCAAATCGGATGAGGTGAAATTAGCGCAAGCAAAGTTAAGATTTATTTAAATTTTCCTTGCCGTGTAAAGTTTCTTGCATTCTACTCTTCTGTCATGTAGCACATAACCAGTTGTCAGGCGACTGATCCCAAGTGGAAATAAATGACTCAAAACCGTTTAAACAAATCACCTCTTTAAAGGCTGTGATACGAATGACGCACTTGTAAGCGAAAATCACTTAATGATCCAATTGATGCCAGATGCTGTCCGAAAAGTATTTATGTTGACGTCATAATCTTTTGGCTGAAGAAAACAAACAACGTATTATTATTTTGACAATGCTTACTAAATTTTTCATTCAACTTCTCTATCCATCATGGTTCGGTCAATTTACACATGGTTTATTTTCCTCCTCTTTACATTAATAAAAATTAATTTATTTCATTTACTATCAAGAATGGCACAGGAAGGGACCCCAGATAAAAGTTCCGATGCCTCCGCAACTGAAGTTAGTCAGATTATATTTGGTGGAAAGAACTTGAAGTATCAGATCGAACAGTTTCTTAGCTCCGGTGGCCAGACTGTTAATATTCTACTGAGTGGCAAGACAGGAGTTGGCAAGTCACATTTGACAAATGCGCTCATTGGAGAAAACCTTGCGGTAGAAGGATATGACATCGACCCACAAACTGATGACGTAAGCTACTTTGATATCGACAGTTAATTCACCTTTTAAACTATTATGAGGTTATTTCATTAACGGGTACTGTGTATTACTTGTAGTTGGGAAAAGTAATGATAATATTTTGCATCCTTTTCAGCAGCATGTCTAAACTCCCTCTGTTCTTTAATACTTGAAATCAAGAAAGAATTATGGAGTGCTTTTGCAGGTATTAGGTAAAAACGTTATTTGAGGGATAAGAAAAAACCACTTTCAAGGTCTCATTTAGAAACAGGGCGCACTTAAGAATAAAAAAAAAAATTTTCATGCATTTCTCTCGTGTAACTTAGGTAACATTCCAGGTCAGATCATAAGTAAATCACTGTTAGAGTTAAATGGCCTAATTATTTCCTGTTTATTCCCCTTAGATAACTGCTTACGAGGTTGTCAGAAACGGCGTAACTATTACAGTGTTCGACACTCCAGGACTTGCAGACGCAACCGGCAGTGATGAAGAATACCTGCGGAAAATCAAGGAGAAAGTAACCCACTTAGACTTGTTTCTATTCTGCACTGAGATGACCAGTAAGCGATTCCGGACCGACGACTTGGAAACGATGAGGAAGCTTACAGAAGCCTTGGGGGAGAAACTTTGGGAACATGCTCTTGTGGTTTTAACCTTTGCAAACGAAGTTCCATTATCGCCAACTAAGAAGACGGGTGACGTACCTGAAGTAACCGTTTTCAATAATCGCTTTTTATGTTTCAAGAAAGCGATAAACAAACATTTGGTTGCCATAGGGGTACCAGAGATCACCGTGACTAATGTGCCATTTACGCCAGCCGGAGAGTTGGATGATCCAAGACTTCCAGATAGAGAAGATTGGTTGACAGCATTTTGGATCGCAGCTTTCAAACGTATCAACAGGAACGCAAAAGCTGCTTTCCTAATGGCAAATGTCGATCGCATTTCACTTTCCTCCACCTCTGGTGAAGGAAACGAAGAAAGCAAAGTAAGGAAAGATGGCAACGTTTGTCAGTCTTTAACCATCGAAGAAAGGAATGCAATCAAAGAATCAGGAGGAAAATTGAAAGAAAGTGGCTTTGACAAAAAATTGAGCCGCTGTTTTGAGAAAATTGAGATGAAAACTAAAGAGGAGTGCCCCACATCACCTGGCCAAGGTGCAAAGGTGTCAGGCCCCTCCATCAATGCGAACGAAACCTTCTCTGAAGAAATCTTTAAGGAGATAGTAAGCGATGTATCAGGGCAATTCATTGTTGAGCTAACCAGTACTAAGAAAACTAAGACTTCGGATGAGCCCGATGAAGAGTGCCCCACATCACCTGGCCAAGTTGCAAAGGTGTCAGTCCCCTTCATCAGTAAGAACGAAACATACTCTAAAGACGTCAAGAAGGAGATGTTGGCCAATGTAACAGGGCAATTCATCGGTGAGCTGACCAGTGCTAAGAAGAAAACTGAGACGTCGGATGAACCTGAAGACGAGTGCCCCACATCACCTGGCCAAGATGCAAAGGTGTCAGGCCCCTACATCAATAGGAACGAAACGTGCTCTAAAGACCTCAAGAAGGAGATTTTGGCCGATGTAACAGGGCAATTCATCGGTGAGCTGACCAGTGCTAAGAAGAAAACTGAGACGTCGGATGAACCTGAAGACGAGTGCCCCGCATCACCTGGCCAAGTTGCGAAGGTGTCAGGCCCCATCATCAATAGAAACGAAACGTGCTCTAAAGACGTCAAGAAGGAGATGTTGGCCGATGCAACAGGGAATATCTTCGGTGAGCTAACCACTGCCAAATTTGGTGGAAAGTACGGAATATTCCTCCGCTTCCTTTTGAAGTATCTTAAGAAGCGTTTCCCACTTTTCGTTTCAAAGCCTAGACTAGAAGGCATGAAGAAATGATCACGTGGTGACCAAATAGAGAGAAAGAGAGAAACTGCGTGCCTTTAAAAATATCAACCAGTTAGACTATGAACATATAATCTATAAATCAAATTGGACTCTGTATCCTCAAAAAGGTCATGCCACGTTTCTGAAATCAAACGAGCTGTTGGAAAAAGGTTCAAATAGATAGCATATTATATGTAGGCTCGTTAGAGATCCAAGCGACTTTTTGTTTCAAGACAAGACGAGTTAAAGTTGCTGAGTACAATGAAGTTATTTGATACAGAGGACCGATTTATAAAACTTTGAAAAATGTATTTTGTAATTTTTTTTAAAATTCATGCTATTAGTAACACCATCGGAAGAAAACGATTAAAACAGGAAAAGATGGACGAAAGCATTTACCAGGCGTTTGTGGACTTTGAAAGGAGAAAGCCTTCTTCGACTCCATCGTTGTTTAATTTCCTCATCACACAGTTCTGAAGAGCAGACAAAGCCCCCTTGATTCTATATCCTCTGTGCTTACTTTTACCTGTTTCATATCAAGCTTCTAGCTTTTATGAGACAGACCATTTTTTAGCACCTGAGGAGATGGGGGGTGTCATAATAAAATCTACCTGATTTCCCCCCTTCCTCAAAGGCTCTGTAGGGTTCCAATGAACCCCCCTACCTCATTGACAGGCAACTGTCTGTAGTCCGCCCTTTATAGTTTTCGAGGAAAGAATGATACTCCTCCGTTCTCTCTGAAAACTTTGTGTTCCCAGAAAATCCTCAGTTGTGTAGGATTTCTTGTCTTTCGTATCGGTGTATATCCACAGTCGTGAAGGACTTCTTGTCTTTCATACCATTTCCTTGATGCATTTTTTAGCTGCGTAGCTCTCTCCGCTTTAACACCTCTTCATAAAATTAAATGGTTTATCTCTGGCCACCCAACCTGGAATTATAAATTGTTTTAAGGGACGGATCATTATTTTCCTGGAGGGGGGGGTATGAGAAATTTTCTTCGGTAAAAAATTTTTTTCCAACATCATCTTCGTGCAAACAATTTTTTTTTCCTTTTTTTTTTTTTTTTTTTTCAGTGTTCTTTTCATCTGTGCTAAATATTACCATTGCCTTATTGAAATATTTTACGAAGAACGTAATCACTAGTGCTATTGCCACTTATTTTGTCGATATACGCTCCACACACCTTTTAAAATTTTTTGGCAGCTACTGACGTAACTAAAGGGCATACAAAAGGAAATAGGCAAAGGGAGTGGCGGCCTTTTTTGCGATTCCACAGTCACGAACTCCTGATCCTCTTTGATGATGTTCCTACAGGCCATCATACTCGTACCACCCGACCTGTGGTACTAGGGGCGAAGGCAGACACATTGCTGATTTGAAATGATTGTTGTGGCCATAGGTCACTCCAAATAACTTATAAGTAGTAAGTGATCCATTAGCTTTGATGGTGATATCATCAGGAAGATGACAGCTTTCTGGAACGCACCCGTTTCTTTACTACTACAAAAACGTTTTTCAGTTGTCAACGAATGTGTCAAGAACTACAGCTGCTTCAACTTTTTTGTCTATCATTTTTTAGTTTTATTCGCTTATGTCGTTCATGTAACTCATTGACTTCTGAAATATGTATTAAGTAGCAATGATAAATATATCCAAGATTGAAGACTATTATCTGTTTAATTAATACAGTTTTAAGAAAAACACCTGATATATAAAGTTTTGTAGTTGGACAAAATGTAGACAAGACAAGTTGAGATTTAATTGCCACGATAAATTCCCATTTTTTTCAAGAAAAATTCAGCTATTTTCAGATTTGTTATTTGCTTGACCCCTTTTAGTGTGCCCAAATTGTGTTAATTTTTATATTAATGCTTTAATTGGCTATGTTTTTTAAATTTCAGTTTTGGTAATAATATTTTTAATATCTTATCTGACCTCTATGCAAACATTTTTTTTGCCCTATCACGTTTGTAAACAACTTACTTTGTCTTTCCAGACCCTGCAAACAATTTTTTTTTTCTATTTTTCATACCCCCTTTCAGGAAAATAATGGTCCGTCTCTAACTCGCTCCAGGACTCTCGCATTTCTCAGATTGCTTTATAAATCACATGATACAAAAAGTTCTGTGTTGACACCACAAATTTACATCACATTTCCTTTGCTTGTGTACGCAGTAGAACCAGCTGTTCTTCGCAGCCTTCTTTAGAGAAATTCCCAACAGTCAGTCCACAAGGTTAGGGCACATGCTTTTAATTTGTTCTGTTTTAATGTAACAAAATCATTTCGCGATACATTTCCGGCTGGGTTCCTCAATATCGAAAGTAATTCTCTTCTGGATTGCTGAAATGACAAGATGAACGTTTTAATAACTGAGTGTGTGACGATTTAACAATCATTACAAGCAGCTTAGTAAATGATAAATGTTCTTACTTTGCTATCGTAATTGATTGATTTTGCTTCGCTTTCTATAGTGCATATTCATTTCCTCCCAGGTGAATAAAGAGAATTACTGATTTTGGTGAAAACGTTTGATTTGTTAAATGCTTGATTTGCAAAATGCTTGATCTCACTGTTTGGAAAAAGGCAGCATCACTTCAGTTCAATTCTTATTCATTTGGCCTTAGCCAAGATTTATTATTTTGACTTGTAAGTTGTCACGGTATGGAAAGGTCAACCTTTGCTGGAAATGTATCCCGAAGAATTTCGCGCGATTGCCTTTTACGTATCTTTCGCATCCTCTCTGATCGCTGCTTAATCAACGTTCAGTTACATTTGACTGATTTTCGCGGGAAGAGGAACAACGCAAAAAGCTCATTAAAAGCGTAGATGATATGAGAGTGACTGCGGGCATGTTTACTTTCGTTTTAACAATGATTCGTTTCAGTTACACAATGAACGATTATGTTTTAGGCCCACTATTATTTTTTTTTTTTGTAATGTGACCTGCTTTGTAAAAAAAAAAATTATTCAGCCCATAGATATAGCCCGTAGATATAATCAAGGAAAGATTATGCAAGAGATGACCACGGGCATGTTTACTTTCGTTTTAACAAAGCTTTATTTTTCACAATTAACGATTATGTTTTATTATTGTAAATTTTCGTAACGTGACCTGCTTTATAAACAAACTATTCAGCCCATTTCAGATAGCTGCCTTTTTTTTAAGTAAGAAAGACTGGTCTGAGTCATGCTGGTGTTTAGGCCCATACCTTTTTAGTAGAAGTCGAAGTGAAAGGGGGAATGATTTGTAAGGGAGGAATATGCTTTGGCCTTCACTCAGGCTTCAATCTATGAAGTTTTCTATGGTCTTTTAGCCCACTGTAAGATTTTCCCTTCTGGCCTCAAAGTCTGAAACTTTCTAACTTTACTTATTTATCCTGATTTATTAAGGTCAGTGTCTTTTAAAATAATCTGAACTGTTTCTGTACAAATTAATATAACACTGTAGGGTAAATGTTCTATGAGGATGATTCAAATATCAAATTTAACTGTAACAAAAGATCATCAATTTCACTTTTTTCTAAATTCAATGAATATCATACGTTTTTTTTGACATAGTTTATATTGTAATGGCGGAGAAGGGAGCCCTGAAAAGAAAATCGAGGACTTTGGCTGGAAAGGAAGAACAGCAGAAGTTACTCTGTAAGAGAAGTCTCAAGTATCAACTGGATCACCTGATGACGTTTTGCTTTGGCAACGCTATCAAAATACTATTAATCGGTAAAACAGGAGTTGGAAAATCTCACTTGACGAATGCTCTAATCGGTGAACAGCTTGCTGAGGAGGGAGAAGATTTTGATCCAAAAACCGCTGAGGCAAGTTTAACTAAATTATAAACGTATAGAAAGATTTAGTTACATTTTGATCACTTATAAACGTGATATTGGAATGAAAAAATTGAAAATTGATCTAAGGATTCGGACAAGAAACTTGAGCCATATGAAGTAGGAATCAAGTACCCTCGTAACATTCTTCAAAATGACATTGCAAGGTAGGAGCAGAGGGAATAAAGCGAGATACCACACCCATGACCCCTTAGCTAGGTAGAGTGAAGTGCTGCAAGTGTCAAGAAAAATACCTAAGTAACGTGACAAGGATTTAGTTCAAGCTAAAATCGGTTCCAAAGGTTTTGAGAATTCAAGACTTTCTACCGGCGAACTGTTCACGAGAAGGACATTCCTTCAGTCTTAGGCACAAATCCCCGGTAGTAATATAAGCAAACTGTCTGAAAGAGTTTTTTTCCTCAATATCTCATTATGCTATTATTAGTATATCCTTAAAGACTAGGCAGCTTAAGCCCCATGATTCATGATTTTTAGGTGAGAGCTTATGAATTTTCAAAGAACAACGTGAAGATTACGGTGTTTGACACTCCAGGACTGGCAGATACGAAAGGCAATGACGAAGAATATATAAAGAAGATCAAAGAAAAAAAGATAGAGTTCGATCTTATTCTGTTCTGTACTGAGATGAATGGTACAAGATTTCGTAACGACGACTTAGAGACAATGAAGAAGCTGTCGACAGCCTTAGGTTTTCAGATTTGGAACCACGCAGTAATTGTGTTAACGTTTGCTGACATGGTTGTTGCATCAGCAAGCCAGAAGCTGAAAGGCGTCTCGGATAAAGAGGTGTTTGGTGAAAAGTTCCAAGGTCTGAAGAAGACATTTCGGCAAGCCCTGATCCACAACTGTGGAGTGCCTGAAGAGGTTGCCATTTAAGTGCCATTTGTACCAACTGGGGACTCCATGGAGCTCAGACTGCCAGACAGAAACGACTGGAAGACGGCATTTTGGGTGACGGTGTTCAAACGCATCAGCAAAGTAGCAAAGGCTGCTTTTCTCCTATCAAGTGCTGATCGACTGTCATTTCCTCATGGCTCGAATTTCGACGAAGACGATCCCGAAAGCGCTGCCATAAGAGCTTTGAATCATACGTTCCACGAGGTGACTTTGGAAAACCATGTGGATGCCCATGAAGAATCTGAAAGACGGCCCGAAATACCATCTGAAGGTGAAAGGTCTGAAATGAATGTTTCTTCTTCCATATACCTGGACGAACCTTCCTCTCAAAGAATCGTTCAAGAAATTTTGGGGGATGTGACCGACAGTCATGATAGCACCGAAACGACCAATCGAAATACATTCGTCCGCTTTTATCACACGTTCCTTAGCTTAATTATTAAATATTTCAAGAGGATTTTACGAAGGAAGCACCAAGAGGAAGAATCTAAGAGACAAGGGCCTTTACAGTAGGGTACCTCTGTAGTCAAGAACAAATTAAGGACTTAACTACTTGTTCGAAACTCTCAAACCTTCACAGATCATGAGAACGGGAAAAATATCGGGAAAAATTCAAAGATCGCATATACTCGTCATTTGTTTCTCTCTCTTATCAAAAAAGGCACAAGATGATCAGGGAGAGTTAGAATGTCTTAGAGCTTGATTATGATGGTTTCCATTAAGGGAGACTCATTCGTTCAATTTGAATCATAAATACTTAATAACCATGCTAATGATCTGTTCTGATATTCTATTGAAATTTTTTTGTATAAAGACAAACGAATCGTGCGGATGGTCATATTGTTGCAAATAGCCCTCTTTTAAATTTGACTTGAAGAATGTTCCAATGTGGAAAAGAGACTTGTTTAACTGAACGAAGCTATAGACATAGACAGATCACTGAGGGGCAGGGGAATAAACTGTTAGAAATTCAGTGGATAACATTGAACGAAACAATTACAACAGCACAATCACAATGATATTTCCCTGTTAAATTTAGTCAGTTAGCGACTATGTATATCACTGTTGATATAAGGTTATTCATTTTAACCGAATCATGAGGCTAATGTGCTGCCTTACTGAACCTCTTTTGATTTGCATGATGGACTCTGTAGAACTTTTGCTTTTATTTGAAGGCTGAATTGAAAAGATTACCTAAAGGAGGTCTCAAATTGCGTCATCCTAGCCACAAATATCGTTCTAGGCTTGAATTATGTAGTTGTTGTCACTGCTTTTTTTTTTTTTTTTTAAAGTGTAGTTTCCTTAGCCAACAATAAAGAACTTGATAGGAAATACCTGATCATGAGTATGAAGTAGAAGTCAATACTACTGGGAATTTAGTGCCTGGGCTAGTGATATTGTCCAGTGAGGGTCTATGAAATTGCACGCCCGCTAAATCAAATCGGCAGTTTCCTACAGACTGATATTAAGATATCATGTTCTGGCGACTTAAAGGTATCTTTGACACCATAATCATTCCCTGACACTCTCTGCTTTTTAAAAAAGCCAAAACAGTGTCCTATGCTGTCTCTGAGGTGAGACCCGAGTTTTTGAGCTTCTTGCTCACCATTAATCCTCCTCAGCTTGGTGGAGATTGCACTATCGTTACAACGAACAGTAAAAAGGGCTTGCGGCGTTACTAAAACTGTGGTCATGCAAGTCGATGCTGGTGGCTTCTAGAGTGAAATCTGTAGCTACTGATCTTAAATTAACATATTCTGAAGATGAACCATTACCGTAACTACCAGTCGAGGTCGACTTTTAAAACTGTACTTGACGTGTTATGAAGACTGGGCTGCAACAATGGTAACATAAGCATCTTGCAAAATCCAAATGTTATCTAAATATAGCATTTTGTGACATTTCCGGGAATACAAGAGATGTTTTGTTTTTTTAAAAATATTGGTTGGATCCTGTTATATATAAATGCTTCTAGACAGGAGATCCACTTTGTGTGGAATCATTACTTTATGAAAGCAATGAAGCGAAGTGCCACCGCTGACGAGATTTGTGGATGCTCAGATGATGTAATGCCATTGTCATTTCGAAATCGAAAACAGACAAGAAAAGCGCACGAGGTCACTAAAATTGCTCTTCAACAAATATAAGATAAGAATGACATATGGAAGGATTTCGCTTTACAATGAACTTATTTCTGCAAAAATGATAGTAAGATTATCATCTTGTAAATTTCAGATTTTATATTGATATAGTATTTAGTGCCGGACATTTCCAGGAATGAAAGCGATTTGTTTATTACCAAATAATTATAAGTTGAGGCCAAATACTTTATAACGAGAGATTCATTTTGATCCGAATTTCTGTTTAAATTTCTGAAATGCAAAGACACAAACTGTTACCGCTTAAATTTGCTGATCGAATGTTACAGTTGTTTCAGATGATGCAATGCCATTGTCTTTTCGAAACCGAAACGGAAAGAAATAAGGTCATAACATTGCGATTCAGTGAACCGAGACAATAATATTGAAAAGGTTTTCGCTTTGATAATGAACTTGTCTCTGCCTTAAGATTTTAGATCGCAGTTCCAGCTCGAATCTGGTGGATACCTTCTATCCCTTCGTGTTGGGTTTAATTAAGATTGTAGATCGAACCAGGTCAACATCCTTTATTTCTCCCTGTTAGCCGGTTGCATGAAAACAAATATTTCAGTGTTTGTGTTGTCAATGGATGTGTTTGAGTTGTCTGCGGGGGAGGGAAATCGAGACCAAATTAGATTCCCAGAATCGTGACTGATGTCACCGTCACCCTGAGAGGGACCTTCCCTTTGCAATTTCTTGAAATTGTAGTTAGACGATTTTGAATAGAGCAGACTGTGTGTGTGTCGCGGAAAAGAGAGATTGAACATTTTTACTGAGGCAGGCGGTACAGTGCTCGCTACAGGTAGGTAAAGCATATTGCTCACTTTTTGAGCGCCTTTCCTCGGAGGAGGGATTGAAAACGCCATATTCAAGCTCAGTGAGATGGAAGTTTTTAGACAAATGTCTCGTTGGACCGTAAGATACTGTATTTTGCTTATGCTAATATAACAACAACGAGAGATTTTTGATCAATGGTTGCTAAAATCAAAACTAAAGGCTCAGCGTGTTGATGTTTGTTTGCTAGTCGGATACAGAGGCAAACTGTACGACCAGAATACTGATGATGCAGCAAATTCTGAATTAAGCCAAACTCGATATTTATTGTTGTTCTCGTTATTGTTGCCTGGATAGCGTGTCGGACTTCATACCTTCAGGCCTAGGTATAGAGTACTTTTCGATCCCGTTGTCATCTCGATGCATCAGGAGGTTACAATCTCTTGCGATGCATCTATTGGGAAACTTCATTCCTTAATATATGCCAGCCTTAAGCTTCAATGTTCGTTTGTCTCGTCGAGATTCCTGCTGTTATCAGTATGAATTTTTCAATAATAAGTTCAGACTGTCACTCTGGTCAAAAAGCAGGATCTACAGAACTCAGTTTTCGAGGCTAATATCAACTGAGCACTGAAACTCGACGTTTCTTCGAAGAAATGACCACGTTTGGAACGTTGATCCACGAAAAATTCCTTCTTTCGACAAACCGTTCTTGTCCAATTCGCTCTAATCATATAACCCAAGATAGGGTTGGTGTAAGATATTGTAATAAAAAAAAAAACCCCGGCTTAACGGAATATAAATGGGTGTTAAGGGAAATGATCTCGATTTGAGCTTTATTTTCCTTATACTAGGACGATGTTTAAGTGGTTACGGCTAGGGATTTATGTTGATGGGATACAAAGGGATAAATTAAATAGTAATTTCTAGGGGCAATGAGGTTTTTTTTAAATTAAATCGAAAACCTGTAGAAGTCGTTGCAACGTTTCTTTTTCTTTTCCATAAACTTATTTAGTCCGGTCGTATTCCCTATAGTGTAAAGCGCCTAATTATAACTACTTTTTTTATCTTACTGTGGGTAGAATTCTGTACCGTCACAGTTTGAACATCGATAACTATCACAATCCTTTTTGTTTTTACACCGATTAAACCTCAGCCTTAGCACAAAACTAATTAGATCCACTCATGCATAAACACGATTTCGGTTCAGCACTTTTGTAATTTCGTCAAATATGTGCATTACCACATTTTAGGTGAAAATGGCAGAGGGAGGGAGCCCTGATTTCAACTCTGAAACGCTCAAAGATCAAGCCAAGCGGCTGATAACTGGCTTACCCAGCTTCGAGTATCAATTTGAACAATACTGTTCGTCTGGAAGACAGCACATAACCATCCTGCTGTGTGGAAAAACAGGTGTAGGCAAATCGCATTTGACGAACGCGCTCGTTGGAAAACGTCTGGCCAGAGAAGGCGAAGATCTCAATGCAGAAACATATGAGGTAAATTAAAGAAGACAGTGCAACTCTTGGTCAAGCATCTTTACACATATCGCACAAGAAGGCGCATAGCGCCACTAGGTTTTTCCGACCAATATCACCTATTTTCTTCTACCTGAAGTATTCTCTTCTACCTTTATACGTCTTTTGTTTCCTATTCCTCTCTTAATCTCCAAGAGGTGACAGCATTGTATGTCCTGTTTTTTGATAGGTAACACCTTACAACTTCTCAATGAACGGCGTGGGTGTAACGATAGTCGACACTCCTGGGTTGGCAGATGGCACTGGAAACGAAGAAGTGTATCTAAAAAAAATCAAAGAAAATGTAACCGGTTTTGACGCATTCATTTTCTGCACTGAGATGAGTAATCGCCGAATCAGGAACGACGATATTATAACGATTCAGAAGCTAACTGAAGCCTTCGGTCCACAGCTTTGGGAGCACGCTGTTGTTGCATTAACATTTGCTAATGAGGTTCACCCACCACCCAGCAATAGTGACGTGACGGAACAGGAGTTTTCGATGACCGCCTCCGAAAATTTAAGAAGAAGATTCAAGAAGTCGTATTAAAAGTCGGAGTACCAGAGGAGGCGATCATCAAAGTGCCATTCGTACCCACTGGAGATTTGTGCGAGCGTCGACTACCGAGTATCGAAAACTGGATCGTGTGTTTCTGGATCGCAACGTTCAAACGCTTAAACAGAAGTGCAAAACCTACGTTTCTCCTTGCAAATATCGACCGTTTTAATTGCGTTTCAGAAAGAAGAGGAGGTCTATCATCAGGAATAAGCCCGCCACGACCTGAGTTGATGGAGGGAAATCAGCTGCAAAAGCAGGGATTTGACCACTTTCATCAAAGTCAGAGGCCGTGGGATGACCAAAACGCTGATGTTAATCGCGACTGTCGTGTGCTAAACAGAAGCCAATCGTTGAATGAACAAAAGCGGCAAACACCCCCGAAAACGTTGCCCAAACAAAAATCTGAAGAAAATAGGTCAAGGAATGAGCGAGGTTCAGGACCTGACACCCCTGTTGGTATTGATCTGGATGAGGGCATCTACTGGCGAGATAATGATGGAAATTATCAGTGACGTCGGTAACGAGGGCAGCAGGGTATTGGGTGACTTCATTCGGCCTGGAACTGGCAACTTTCTGTCTGCTGTATTCGGGTGGTTTATGGCCTTGTTAAAAAGTGGCTACAGAAAAAACCTTCAATAAAAAAAACGAGGCTGTAGAAGAGGAGAAAGCCGAGGAACAGGAAGGCAACTAAAAACTGATTGATGATATGTATGTGAAATGTTCTAAATACGAAGTCCTCTTTGTAAATACGAAGTCTTCGTTTCTCATACGAAGAAAGCATCGGTTCGTTTCAAAATGTACTCAAATTGTGCTTCGAAAAAATTCATAGCTTTTCATGAAACACGCAGTTCTTTTTTTAATTAAGAAAATCAAGTTTTCATCGTTTTGTATTGCATATTTTTAATTTCAATTTTTCAATCTCAGTTTTTAATTTTAACTGTAGAACATGCAGTTCTTTTTTAAATTAAGAAAATCAAGTTCATAGTTTTATATTGCATGGTTTTAATTTCCTCTTTTCATTTCTTTTACGACAAATGCACTTTTATTATTTTCATACAATCACCGTAAACTTCAGTAAAGATCCAAACCCATCAGCTGAGTATTTTCTACGAAAATGATGTATTGCGAGACTTAAACTCCACTGTCCTCATTCAACGTGAAGAAAACCTTAATAAACATGGTCATTTGATTATTTGGTGACAATGCCTCCTTACAGTTCAAGAAATGGTTGCATAGTGGGTTTAAACATCTATAGTTTCTGAAGAGGTGATTCGTCACTTAAACTTTGCCACAAGCGTTTCGCATACGTTTCATCACCTCAGAAAAACCGCTTTTTGCCCAAAGCATGGTGTTTTTGCTTCACGAAATTTAGTGTCATGTGGTACCTGGCTTCAAGGAATAATATAGCTGTAGTCTCTGTTCAGTTGTCACGTACAAAAACTAAAAACTGTGTTCCGTAATTAAGAGTAAGGTGGTACGGGAGACATCTTGTCACAGATCTCAGAATAAGCCATGATTAACACGTACAATCAGACTCTGTTTGAGCAAACGTATTTGTTTGAACATTAACGTAGGTATCGATACCCCCAGGCCGGTGAATTATCAGTTTATACAGGAGATTATAAATAGTTTATAATTTCTCGTTTATAGTGGACCCTGTGTCATAATCGCATTACTCGATCATTCTTCTGCATGAAATCCCTTAACCCCTGGCGCTCTCTAGCATATGTCAACTAAGTTGATTTTTTTTTTTTCCTCGAAAAAAGTATCAAAACGATATTGTTTTATCTTCATTTTTACGGAGACGCCATATGTAATCAGTGTTCGTCATGTGTAAGCTACATAGTATCACATGCATGCGTCTAAATTCATTGCACTAGGCAGTGACATTGATAATCTCCATTAGTATAATGGCTTGCGGTGTGGATATTTACCTGCTCACTGCTTCGTGGCTCGGTGATTATCCCCACTAGCCACCTCCACTTCGGTGAACAATTGTTAGTCATGTATTAATAGGTACACTGAAAGCTTAAACAAATATTTTGGGAAGGTAAGAGCAGCTCGCACTGCGTTTATCATGACCTTATCTTGGAATATGCCTAACTACGTACAGATTAGGCAAGTGAATGACTTTAAAATGCAAGTCTATATTTCCGACTCTGCTTTTTAAACACATGAGATGGAACAGATGAAGACAGGTAGACACAAGTATAAAAAGATATTTAAAAGGAAAAGAAAGAAAATCTTTCTAATCTCTTTCTATGTTACATCTCTTGCTATTTTACACCACTCGTTCTGTGATTCAGCGTTACTCTTAATCGCCGCAAAGGAAAATTGTCATCGAGGCCTGCTGATCAATATGAAAGTGTTTTTCTCTAGGATTTCGTCCGAATTGTCGCATGTTTTCACATCACAAGAACATGTCCGGGCATAAAATAAATTTTGAAACCAATTCTTTTAGTCCATAAACGTGTCATTATTACCATTATTATAATAATTATTATCATTGGGATTATAGGATTAAATACGCTCTTTCGATATTTGTGTGGTCATTGCGCATTAGAAATCTAAAAGATTGGATTAGACATTAACGTTATGTGGACCATATGGGAACCTTCTGGTGAATTCTAACCACGTAATCCCAACTGCAGTCCTGCATTGTACATGGTGAAGAAAGCAAGCGGGACAATTCACGGTTGGGGTTTGTTCTCCAACGTATTGTTCTGAGGAGTTATTTCAAACCTGCTTTGGCAGATTGTACAAGGATCGTGATTCTAAAGGGTAAGTCTCTAATCCGGCATTATTGCTCCAATTCTAAAGTTGAATTAATCGAGAGGGGTTGGCAACCTAAAACACTTTTACCTCTAGGCATACGTTTAAACTCCAGTTGTTGCCTTATTTGTTCGGTTGCTGCAAAGGTAGCGTCCGTGAAATGTCGCTTAAAGATGTATGTTCTGTAAATGAAGTATTGAAACCAAATCATAGTCAAAGTTTGTAATCAAATCCTACTTTGTGCGACTTTGGAGTTACACACACGCGATTGATTCGCCAGGCGCTTGGAAGGTATTACACATCGGCCATTTGGTTTTTACCAAACACGCCATACCTACGTCATATAATTGCTCACTTAATAGTGATCGACATGTTACACTTAGTGCAAAATCTTTGTGACGGGCGAGTGCCAACGGGCGACTGTAAATTTGCAGAATCATTGCTGGGTCATGAATCTGCTTTTTTTTTCTGATTTGCTGCACACACCCTCACGCTGCACCCCGCCATGCCTTGTGTACTCCCTGCTGCTACGCCTCACAAATAAACCCTCTAGAAAATGTACCACCACTGTTAAGCTTCCGCTTTGAATGTGGATGGATAAAGTTCAAATAATCTACTCTAAGTTTAGTCACATTTAAGTTACCTCGAACTCTAAATCTGGCAACGGAAACTTCTCACATAGTTTTTGTCTGCCTTGATTGTTTTTTGGTATTGCCCTTGACATACAAGATCTAATTAATTTACAAATAATAGACTACTTGCGTTTCGGATCATAAGGTATGCTATAGTTTATTTTATGATATTTTCTGTCTGGTTTGCGCCCCTTTGTGGTTTCCAACATATATACCCCAACAGGCAACGGCTTGAAGTCAAAATAGCTTCCGTGGGAACATTCAGTGTACATGAATTTCCGTACTTAAAATCTTTCAGATACCACTGAACCCTAACTGGCAATCTGTTGGTCAAGGGACAATTGCAAATGCTTGGAACATGTCTTGGTTATTAATAAAAATGATTCTCAACTCCAAGTTTTGAATGAGGAATGTTTTAGATTTATATATTCGTCTCTGCGGTGGCTTTGCTATCAAACGAACACTAAAATAGAAGGAAATATCCAGGAGAAGAGACTCATGTTTATTTTCAGTAACTGTTGCGATGATGTGGTTAGCAAAAATTATTTGAATGAAGATCCGCTTCAAAATATCAAACACGAAACATTTGAACTTATTTATTCCAATATCAAGCTTCAAGGTCCAGCACTTGTCACCCCCACACCCTGCTTATCACACACAAAGCTAGGTTCCAATAATTACGATTCGATCTAACTTTAAAAGTTTAGTTTTTGGATGACTAGTTGGGAATGAGGAAAATAAAGTAAGGGCATTTAAACTTTGCGTAGAGTGTTGTTTTTCGTGAGTTTGTGACCATAAATGTCAGGAGTTCGTCAAATTATCTTTACTCTGTAATGAATACTGGGGTAAAATTGAAGATAACTTCAACACAGCAGAACAGCGGTATTTTCGCCAAGTTGTTGGGTCATTAAACTCGATATCTAAAAACACCCAAGGTGTCCAAATTAATATAAGAGAGAGTCTGTTGATAAAGTTGTTATTTACGATCATTCGGCGGATTACTGCCTATATTAACCATTGTTGCGCCACTTGGATTGATAAAGCTTCGTTACTCAACCTCATCGCGAACAATGCCACTTTATCTCACGATGAATACAAAATAAGTAACCCGAAGTTTCTGCTTCGGCTAGAAGCTTCACGCTGTAAAAGGCCCCCCTGCTCTGTTTGTATGACGCCGGTGCACTAAACCAACCAATGTCAAATTAGAGCGAAAAAGACCTTTTGCTGGAAACTTTTCCACACGTATATGCTCAAGACAAGTCCTATCAAGAGAAGCTGAACTTGCGTGACTTCTGAGTCAGGTCAAATCGTGTCCGCAATGAAGAGTTATTTGATTGACATGCTCGGACTTTGTCACGTTGTTGCGATACATGCTAAAATGGGCAGAAAATATATCGTAAAAGAGCTTCTTACATATATAATACAGAATTTCTGTGAAGAAAAACGCTAACAAAACCTGTGAAAATCATAGCGGGTCAAAATAATTTGGGAAGTTCAGTCTCTATGAGATGTTTCATTGACGTCAAACGGACTAGCAAAATCACTCAGACTTTCTGGCTACTACGTAAATCAGTCTGGGCTTTGGTT